TCTGGCTGGGAAAGGGACTTGCAGGAGAAACCAGCATTGGGCAAAAGTGCAGGTGCTGGGAAGTGCAGTATAAACACGGAATAGTTAGTTCCTTGGGGGCAAAGGAGGCTGGACAAGCAGGCTAGTGAGAGCCTGATTGGCAGGCTAGTGTTTGGGTGCCTCAGACAACAGAACGATGTGGTCATCATGAGCTTTAGGAAGCAGACAGTATGGCTAAGATACAAATGAGGGGAAAGCTGAGAGGCCCTTGGGGGGGGGGGTTGGTTCACAAACCAGCGCCAGTACCCGAGGCAGGCACCGAGAGACTGAAGAAAGAGGCGGGCCACTCCAGATTGGCAGGTGGCAGTTTTCATAAGCAAGGCAACTTACTTACAGGCTTGTCTTGGCGGCTGCAAGATGAGTAGGTCCCACACCTGCCACCAGAATCTTAGAAGCTTATATAGAGGCCTTAAAGGGGCTCAGTCATGTATAGTGTCCAGGGGATTTCAACCACACATTGCTCCCACAAGGCTGTGTCCTTGAAAACAGCTCCCACCATGGGAAATGTGGTTGGAACGGACTTTCCAAGGACAGGGGAGGGGTGAGGAGTCTCCAATTCCCTGGGTTCAGCTTGCAGGTCATCCTCTCTATGACCTCCTCCAAGAGGGTACCATGGTCCAAATGAGGAGGAACAAAGGCCTGAGTTAGGACAGAAGACAGCTGGGGGGTGGGGAAATGTGAACTCATCCTTGGATGACACTCCTAGCGCCTCCTACTTTGTCCTGCCTCCCTAACACCCAGCTACATTTCAGTCCATAAAATGGACTGTCAAGAGGCGTCTGGGGGCTCAGTTGGTTAAGCGTCTGCCTTTGGCTCAGGGTCCTGGGATGGAGCCTCATGTAAGGTTCCCTGCTCAGCGGGGAGTCTGCTTCTCCCTCTCCCTCTGCGTCTCCCCCCAACTCATGTTCTCTCTCACTCACTCTGCTGTCTCTCTCAAATAAATAAAAAATTTTTTTTTCTAATGGACTGTCAAAGCACATAGTAGACATCCAATAAATGTTTGCAGAAAGATGGATGAGACTGAGCAAACTCTCAAGCTGGGTGATTGATTATAAATTAGTTTTGGGGATAAAGCAGGGTTAGAGATTCATTCCATCAGTCTCCAGATAGCTACTGTGTGCCCACTAAAGGCTGTACACAGAGGCACGGGGGGTGCAACAGTGAAACAGCCCAAATCCTGCCCTCAGGGAGATCACAGTCGTGTTGAAGGATGCAACCAGCTTCTTCCGGGACTCACGACTGAGGGGGAAGATGGCTGTTAATGGAAATTGAGAAATCAGGACCAAAGGATGACCCAAGGGGACAGAGCATTTTGTTTGGGGCACTGGAGTTTGGTGTGCCAGTGAGACATCAAGTTGGAAAAGGTCAACACGTCCTTGGAAGAGGTGTTGGGGTGGGAAGACTTGCTATGAAGCCATGAGCAAGCCAGGGAAACTGAGGCTGCAGGAGTGATGGAGATGTCCAGGCAGTAGGATCAGACAAGACAAAAGGGAAGCAGAAGACAATGCTCAAAGGACAGCCTTTAGGCCCCCTTCAGCCAGCCAGTCGTCCACACCTCACCCTCAGCATTATGGTCAACCAGATGACATCAACCCTCGGTCCCCTCTGCTCAGCCCACACTTCCCCAACACAGGCTCTGCTCTCTGCAATTGGGCAACCGGATATCATAGATCCAACCAAAGGCATTCTGCCTCAAGTATTGCTCAGAAAAGCTGAGCCTTTACCTGCTCCTCCAGGCCAAGTTGTGTCCCCTAAAGTTCATAGGTCAAGGTCCTAATATCCGCTACCTGAGAAGGTAAGATAGGGCCTTTTTAAATGAGGTAATTAAGCTAAATGAGTTTATTAGGGTGGGCTCTCATCCAGTATGACCAGCGTCCTTATGAAAAGAGGAAATGTGGACGCAGACATGCAAAGAGGGAAGACCACGTGAAGACACGCAGAAAAGACAGCCATTTCCAAGCCACGGAGAGAGGCCTCCAGAAAAATCAAATGGCTGGCACCTTGATCTCGGACTTGCAGCCTCCAGAACTGTGAGAAAATACATTTCTGTTGTTTTAAACCCCCTAGTCTGTGGCACTTTTTTACGGTGGCCCCGGACAGTTAATCCCCGCGGTTATCATCAGCAGGGTGCGGGCCCTCTTGTCTCCTGTCAGATAGCTCCCTCCGGCTGCGCAGAGCAGGTACCCCTTCACCACTACCTGCCCCCACACACACCTGCTCCTATCCCTGCAAGATGAGAAAGGGATCCATAGACCCTTCAGAGTGCAGGCTCCCACTTCATTTTTTTAACTGTCTCCTGTAGAAAGGGTAGACAAAACAGTGTTTTTCCCTTGGCAAAGACTCCTTCTCAGATATATTTGTGGATCGCAGTTCACTTGAACTAAACAGCCGTGGCTTGATTCCACCTGGACACCCCCGGGCAGCCTGTGCACTTTTTTTCCCTTTAAATTAGATGCAAAGGAACAGACGGGATGAGAAATTCAACCACATGTGCCTTCTTCCTTTATGCCCCAGTCCCCCTCCACACACACACACACACGCACGCACACACACGCGCACACACACACACACACGCACGTGCGCACGTGCGCACACGGACACGCACATGCAAGCACACAGGCAGAGATGCTATTCTTTTCTCCTAGCCAGTGTCCTGCCTACCGAAAAGCTGTGTCCTTGGGGCCCAGGCCACAGTCCCGCTCCTCGGCATAGACAGCCTGACAGCCCAGGATCTCCGGAGTCTACTTTAGTTCTAACAGGATTTCTGTTGCTTTAACATTTTTATTTGAAAACCCTTGATAGGAGGAAGATTAGTGTTCTTCCAGGAAGGCACCTCAGATACAAACCCAGATCTCCCTGAAAACTCTAAGCCAATCTGGGTTCTTAAGAGCTGAGTTTTGATGAGCTACAGGAACTGGTATGAAGGTCAGCAATCCTACAGTCAGCAATCCTGAGGACTCGGGTGTGGCATCAGGCACACAAAGTCCAGGATGACCAACTGCCTTTCGTGCGGCTCTTCTGACATCTCAGAGCCCTAGTGGAAGGGCTAAAGTGCTTTTCCCCTCGCTCTGATCCAGAAGCTCTGAAAAAGCTTTTAAAAAGTTGAAAAAGTCACCAACCTGATCCGTAGTTCTGTTTCCTCCCTTGTGAAGTCAGGAGCATTCCATGTGAGGGACTCTTCCCCTTCCTTGGAAGTGCCGGAGCCCTGTATTGTCCCAGGGGACCCACTCCAAGATGAGCAACGTGGCGGAAAGAATCCCTGACTCAGGGCTCACCATCATAGCTCTCACCAAGACAGTAGACTTTGTGAACAGTGACAGAAACCAGACACTGCCACCTCCTTCCGAATGCCAAATTAGCACCTGGAAGGTCAGCAGCCAAAAAAGCCAAAGGACTCCAGAGAATTGGAAATACGCTGACAACGGCTTGAAGGAAAACTGAACAGAAGAAATTGAAGATGGAAGAACAGGGTTTTTATTCTCAAGAAAATTTCCACCCTTTCTGTCTCTATAGACTAACTTCTCTGTGATCCCCACGGACTAAGTCTGGAGCAGGTAGTCCTGAGGGACAGGGCTACATAGAGCTTTCAGCACTTTAGTCGCCACGGGTATGATGGGGGCAGTTGTGGGTACTCACCAAGGTAGGACCTGTGTGAGCCAGGACTGAAGTACTTATTCATTAAATGATATCTGTTGTGATTATCATTGCTTTTTGCTGGTCTCAAGCCCCACACCTTGATGGGCATGTCTTCATAGCTCAAGAAAGATGCCCCGGAATATAGCAGGAGGATATCATCAGTCAGGATACTTAAGAGCAAGGATGTTGCCAGGGGGTAAGAAGTTCTAGAGCCAGAAGTACTACCAGTAGGACATCCAAGGACCAGCTAATAAAGTTCAAGTTGTCGGGAATGACCTTAAAGGGTCTCTCTTATTCACATCTGGCTGCAGATGCACTCCAGTGGAATGGAGGTCAGCTAGGATGAGAAGCACATGACCGGGCTAGACCTGTGTGGGACCCCTGGGGTGTCTAGGGGAGCCTCTTTTCCTACTGGATTGTCATCACCATGGGACATATGACAGTCTTGCTTTCTAAACACCTGAGTGGGGGAAGCATGTTCTTCTCTGACCACCTCTTTGAGCAAAAAATATTTGCCTACTGTACCTCTCCATTTTGATTTCTAAAAATATCCTTACTGTTTTCTGTGACCACAAATATAATCCAAACAATTTTTTAAAAATCTGGCCCTTACAGAGTACCCAGAGTCACCACCACCACCACCTCCAATTTGGAATTAAATTTTTATTGATATTTACTTGAACCATAGAGCCTTCTTTTTAGCTTGAGTTTTCAGTGAGCAATTGATTTTTGCCATATTTCCATGCCAGCACATTTAGCTCTTTTTAAAAACTGAGCCATATTCATGGTGTTTAGCCATACCCTTGCTGAATACTGGAGTTGGCTCCAATTTTGCACTGTCCCAGATGTTCCTGATGTTAGTAGGAGTGCTGGTAATAAACATATAATTGAATATGATTCAGCCGAAAAAAGGAAGGAAAATCGGACACATGCTATGACATGGATGAAGCTTGAGGACATTATTCTAAGTGAAGTAAGCCAGTTGCAAAAAGACAAATACTGCATGAATCCACTTATATGCATCACCTAGAGTAGTCAAAATCGTAGAGACAGAAAGTGGAATGGTGGTTGCCAGAGGCTGAGAAGAGGGGAAATAGGGAGGTATGGTTCAATGGGTTAGAGAGTTTCAGTTAAATTTCTGGAGATTGGTCACACAACGTGAAAGTAACTTTCACGTTGTGTGACTGAGCTGTACACACAAAGGTTTAAGATTGGAAATTGTATGTTAGGTATACCTTAACCTTAAGGTATACCTTAACCACAATTAAAATACTAATAATAAATCATTTCTTAAATCCCAAAAAACAAAAAGTGGGAATGCCAAGTTCAAAGGTGATTCCAGTTTTAATTTTAATAGATATTGGCAAAGTGCCTCCAGAAGGGCCGTACCAGTCTTATTTCCACTGCAGCGTGAGAGGGACCCCTTCTCCCACAGCCTCTCCGACACGGGCATTGCCAGTCTGCTCTCCATCGTGATTTGGTAATGGCAGATGGGGACAGAAACAGGGCAGAAGCTCGCACTCCCCCTGAAGTGTAACAAAAGAAAGTTCTTCTGTTCAGCCCATCTCGACTCTTGAGGGGCCACCAAGTGAATTTGGGTTGCAGCGTTCTCCAGGGTAGGTGTAGATCTCTTTGGATGCCTCTGGAAACTCCAAAGTTATTCTAGTTCTTCCCCATCCCATCCCACTCCCTAACCTTAAAATCATGACTCCAAATATCACGGACTGGCCTACATATTTCCCTGAAACAGCTGTCCCGCAGAATCACTAAAACTTGGATTAAAAATAGCCTCAGTCTCTAAAAGAAGGTTGAGTCCCCGGAAACAAAGCCCGCTTAGAAATGTCCCCACCTCCGTAAAGGGCATACAAAAGCTAACCCAGCTCTGTCCCCAGAGCTGGTCTCTACTCGTGACCACCCCTTCTTGCCCTGGAAACAGGTCCCTGCCTGAAATCTTTTCCCATTCTTGGTCCATCTATGGAAGAAAAACAGGGAACAAGGGAGGATAATGCAATTATAAACAAGCTACAAGCTCATGTCCTTATTTCCATTTTATAAATGCCCAAATGGGCTCAGAGACTTTAAATAACATGTCTCAATTCCCACAACCAGTGAAGGAAGCCAAATTTCAATCTTACATCTTACTTCAAAGATACTGCGGTGACAATACCCTGCTTCCCTAGTGTAACCCATCCCCCCTCAAAGGTCCTATCAGGTATTCAGGTCCCATCACCACTGAGGAGGGCCATGTGATATGTCTTAGGCAGACAACAGAGAATTCTGAATAGGGCTAGAATTCCGCAGCACCAGGAGACGTTTCTAGACAACAACCCACCTAAAGAACGCCCGGTACCTTGCTGATGGCTTCTCCCTCCCCCTTAGCAAGTGGGGAGACACATTTTCCTGGGTAGTGGGTGGGAGTGAGGATCAGCTGTCTACTTTTGTTGGCAGACCTGGTTTCTTTGCTGTGGTAAGGGCTGGAAGTTTATCAGGTTAAACGGGGAAGCTTCCCATGAGCTCCTAACCTCTGTGCTGTTATCATGGTTGCCAGGTGGGGAGATGGCCTCTGGCTGCCCCCACTTGACCTTGCGCTCTCCAGTCAGGATCTTCGAAGCATATTTAGAATGACAAGATCAGACAAAGCCAGCCTCAGTTTCTTAGGAAAGATATTTGTGGCAGAAGGAAGAGCAGTTACCTGTTGCTTTGGCTTACACATCCTCTGGATCATAAACTTAAGGATGATCCCCACGACATAGATGTCTGGCCATTACACGGTATTGATCCAGGAGGGCTTTCAAGGCATCCCAGACCCCAGATCAGCCTGCTGGAGAAGGCCAGGGATAATTGTATGTGTGTGTGTGTGAGAGAGAGAGAGAGCGACAGACAGACAGACAGAAAGACAAAGACTGAGATGTTAGGCATTGAGACGATTAAGATGGTTATTATGGCAGGAGCATCTATGAATCCTGGATTCCTATCCTGCAAGGACACTGAAGGAGCAGATGCATGAGGAGAAATGACCAAGAGAAGTAGCACGAAGCTGTGTTCTTAGCTATATACTCTGCCCCAGACCTGGAAAAAGAGTATGTGTCCACAGCTTTCTCTAGATTTTATTCCCATAGTGAGGAGCCCCCTGCTCAAATCTCCCTGAGCCTCTTCCCCACCGATGTGCTGGATCCAAGGGGAAGCCAAGAGTGGCTGTTCAGGGAAGTAAGGATGAAGCTATGTGATGAGCTTTCACGTATGGTTGGAATGCCCATACTCACGCCAGGAGACCCTTTGTGGTGTCGGCTGAAGCAAAGGGTGCGAAGAGAAAGGATGGGGGAGAGGTCTTTGTATTCTTACCCCACATCCCACAAATGTTAGGGGCAGACCTGCCCTTCTGTGATAGCCAGCACAATTGGCTGCCAGTGTCTCGGGGGAACCAGAACCCAGGAGCTGAGTGACGAGAACTCTGTAACGTTGGTCATAGTAACTCCCCCTGCAGGTTGCCCTGGCAACCAAGTCTTAGCGGCTGGTGAAACCTGCATGGCCTGCCAGATGTCAAGGTCCAGAGGGGAGGTGACTAAGATGACAAATGCTTGGTTCCAGGGATAGGTTCTAGGATTCCTCCGGGTGCTAGGGTTCTAGGATCCCCACTAGGCCAGGCAGACAGATGGATGAAACCCATTCCTTCCAAGGGCAAACTATAGAATAGCATGGGCTCCAATAGGGAGTTCCTATTTGCCTGACCTCAGGCAAACCCCTCCTTCACTTTACACATATTTGTGATAATCACTATATTTTGGAGCGCTGTAAGATCTGGAGCTAATGCATGCCTAATAGTACCTAACACGTAGTAGGGCCTGGTTTCAGTTATCTATTGCTGGGTAACAAACAATCCCAAGACTTAACAGCTTAAAGCCATAATGCTTTGTTAATTCTCAGTTAATTTGGGCAAGCCTCAGCTGGTGCGGTGGGTGCTAGGGTCACTGCATTGGCCTCACTGAGCAGGCCCTAGGCTGAAATGTCCAAGAAGGCTCTGTTCACATGAATGGTGCCCCTGGGCTCCTACATGCGGCTCCTACATGTGGCCTCTCTGCCTGGCTAGCTTGGGCTTCCTCACAGCATGGTGGCCTTGGCACAACTGAATTCTTACATAGCAGCTGGATTATCCCAAAGAAAAGCAGAAGCTGCCAGACTTCTTAAAGGCAAGACCCAGATTAGACAATGTCACTTCTGCTGCAATCTATTGGCCAAAGCAAGTCATAAGGGGAAGGAAAACTGACTCCACCTCTTGATGGGCAGGATGACACACACATGCAAGGACAGGAAGAAATAGACAGTAGCTGTCTTTGAAATCTACCTACCAGAGCCCTCAACCCTTATTTAGCTGTGAATTTGTGACTGTTCTCTCCATATGTTCCACCCCCTTTTCCAAGGTAGTAGCTAGGACTCCTCAGTTCAGGAGTGATGCAGGGGCCAGGGGATGCCCTGACCAATAGGGACCTGCATTCACATTCATCGCAATGCAATGGGGAGGTGGGAAAACTTCAAGGATGATGGTTGAGTGGTTCATCTACAGATGCTGGACCAGATGTCCCAGGGCTCCTAGCCTCACCAAGCTCAGCTTGGAAGGAGAAAAGTCACCCATCAACTCAGACCCCCCGCTAGCTTGGAAAGAATGTGTCAGTGGTGGCCACCACGAACTGAAGGAGAGAGGGCCTTCCTCCTTTTACCTGTGCTATGTAGACCTCCCAAGATTAGAGACCTAAAGGAAACAAAAGGTCCCCCAAAATGACTTGGGTTGAATTTCCCACCAAAGAGGGCTCAGAGTAGGATTTTAATTAATTTAAATAAAATGTAACATTCCTTGTACAACTGAAATTCATGTGTACTGTCCTATTGTTAGATCATGAAATCCCAGTATTACCAAAGCCATACTAAAATCAGATGGAAACACAGGAAACTCACATTCAATGTCATTCACATTCAAAAATTCAAATGAAATACCTCATACACCTACTGGGTAAAACCTGGAAGTTGCTGGGATTTTAACATGGAGTGTTTATAGCCTTAATCATTTTCCTGGGCCCTGGGAGTGATCTCCCCATCCGAGCCTGGAGAATCCTGTGAGCTCTAGAGAGAGGGCAGAGTACAAGCCTCATCCATCTCTTGGCCTCCTCCCTCTCACATCCCCACAAGCCATGTGCCCATCCTGCAACACTGGATCAGCCCCCTGGGATGAGCCCAGAAGAGCCCATGTCATGACACTAGAGAAACGAATAGCTGACGCACTCCAGCTAGGAGGAGACCTTAGGGACAGCCAGGACCTGGAAGCACTACTATGCCTGCCTTCTGTGCAGAGAACAGGTGTGACATAAGCTGTAAATTACACTGAGCTCCATGAGCAGGGGCTCTTGCCATGGTCATTGTTGGCCAGGATGCTCAGCAAACCTGGGGCTCATTTTGAACGACAAGTGACCACTCTGGGGAAACTGAGGCAGGCCAGCAAGGGAAAAGTGAACATGATATCTACAGCCCTGGGTTTGGAGGTAGGGGATGAAATGGGATTCAGTATGTGAACTTCAGTATTCGGGGTAAAGGGTGGGTGCACTCAGGAGAGAGTAAAGCCGGCAGCTTGGGGAGCAGTGCTGAGCTTTGTCATCCACTAGGGATGACTCTGGGCAGCTGCTTTGTCCTGTTCTGAGTGGGTGGCAGGAGAAGACACATTAATTTCCTATAGGAAGACCCCAGTGCCAGAAAGCAGGTGAGAAGTTGAAGTGACTGAGCTGTGTCAGCGCCCAGGGGCCAGTCAGTGCACTCTATGTCCTGATACTGGGCTGGGGCGATGGGCTCCAGAAAGAATCGCTGACATTTGCTGTTGACCTCAGTGCCTGAGTCCTCCGTGGAGAGTGCTGGCTAGCCTCCGAAAACCCAGTCCAGGTCTCAGCCCTGCCTCAGAATGGCTCTGTGACCCAAGGTAAGATGCATCACCTGGACCCATTTCCCCCACTAGTGATGAGGTGAAATACTGAGGTGTCAGCACAGAGCTGTCGGCTCCCACATCAGTGTCCTTCCTTCCTCCAGTCATTGGAAGACTGAACCCGTTTCCCCAGAGAGAATTTGAGGAGAACAAGGGCTCTCGGCTAAGAACAGTCAGGCCAAAGCATGTGCATGTTGGTAGGAGCCATCCAGCCCTTTCCCTTCCCTCAGCAGGCTTCAAGGGCCCTAAACACCATTCCAAACAATTAATGCTGCCTGCAAAGAAGTGGAATTAACGTCTGAGGCAGTTAGGAAAATAGCTGATTCTTCATGATGGGATTTTGGAAGATGAACTGTCCCTGAGAATTCACCCTCTTTACAGGAGAGATAGACATTAGCTATGTACATGCTTGTCCAGCAGCTGGGTACATGGGGGCGGGGGGAGGGACCACAAGGCAAGCTAGGGGGCTGATCATGACAGAGCTCCAGCCTCGCGGAACCCCAGGAAAGAGTTAACACAGCAGGTCTGACTGCTCTCTTTTGAAAGAAACCTGCTTACAAGGTTTCCCCTTGGCTGGTGTCTGGTAACTTGAATTTCTGGAGGGTTCCTGCCATCTCCAGAACTGATAACCGTGGCTCAAAGTGCTCAAACTATTTGTACAATGTAGTTTATGCTGAACGCCTGCTTTCCTTCTGAGACGCTGTGACTTTGCTAGGTTCTAGGCAGAAGATACCCACATGACCAGGCCCCATTAAAAACTCTGAGCACTGAGTCTCTAATAAATTTTGATTGGCAACAATTCATATGTGTTGTCACACTCGTCGGTGGGGGAACTAAGCGTGTCCTGTGTGAGTCCACTGGGAGAGGACCCTCAGAAGCCTGCACCTGGTATCCCTCCCCACCCCCACCTCAGACTCAGCCCATGTGCCTTCTCCCTTTGCGCACGGATGGTGCTTGGTATGCTTTGGCTATAATAAATCGGAGCTATGACTACAACTACATGCTGAGTCTTACGAGCCCTCTAGTGAATTACCAAACCTGAGAGTAGTCTTGGGGATCTCTGACACACAGCCCCCGTCCCGGATTTCTGGGCAAGGCCTGGGACACCAAAGCCCCTGCTACTGGGAGGGCCTGTGGATTGAGGTCATTGGTGGGAATTACTGACCCGGTCGCTGAATCCCATTCCTCACTCCCAACCTCCTCACGCACACTCTAAGCCCCCCTACAATTGAGAAGGTGGATTCCTGAGAGTGGTTCTCTCTAGGAGTTTCTATCAGACAGTGTTGATATAGAAGACAGCAGACTCATCTGGCCCAGTTATGAGCCTCCTGGACCTCGAAGCATAGGATCAGAGGACACTTTGTTTCCTGAGACTCAGCTCTCCTGCTCACCCAACATAAGCAAACCCTGAGATCACACAACCAAGACCAGAGGGTGTTCAAACCCATGGCAACAACCTACAGAACCACTGGGCATCAGAGCACAAAGGGCTCTTGGACCATTCGATTCCCCCAAAGGGGAAACTGAGGCCCCACTGGACTACATAAATGCAGCTGCCACCCCGTGCGATATGCATTTCTATCACGGCTTCTTTCCCACGTCTCCACCTCCCCATCACAGCAGACTCTGAGCCCCCAAAGGGGTGCCGCATCTAGGCACTCAGTGATCTGACGCACCCCAGGTTATACCGCTCCGTAAGGGCGGGAGAGGATTCGACTCCAGGTCTCCTGTCTCCCAGGGCTATGTTCTTGTTGGCTGCAGTCCCAGAGGCAGCACTGACAAAACTCCGTACAGTCCACACCCCGAATGCTCAGGAGGCCCAGGCAAGGCCTCAGGAGACACCGCAACCAGCCCTGAGTCCCCGGATGTCTTCATTTCAGAAGGCACAGCAAGCTTCTGCCAGGGTCAGCATCAACCAGCTGGTCAGAGAGAACCAGTGCCAGGATTTACCGTTTACTCTCTGAGTGGAGACTTGAAACAAATAAATGGGCGGCTCCAGGTAAGAGAAATGATTTAACTTTATAAAAATGTGATAATACAGTAAGATTTGATTGGGTTTTTTTCCCTTTTGTTCTGGCAAGTAAAGTTTACAAAAAAACACCTGGAATAAAAATTAGAAACACAACCTAATAAAAATTAGAAACAAGGAAACAGTCATTTAGAAAGACGATAAGGAGAAAACAATAAGCAGCAAAAGCAGCAGAACACAGGGAGCAAGCGGGCTCTGCTGTGTGGACAGAGCGATGAAGGGCCCACATAACCCAAGCTTTCACAGCAGGCTGAGCTGAGGGGCAGGGGAGAGGGTGGGCAGGAGCCATGAGCGGCATGGAGGCCTCCAGAATGGGACCACACTGATGGCCGCTGGCTCAGTGGGGCTTGGGTGTGAAGCAATAGCATCCTTCAATCAAGAAAACGAGACACACAGGGCCACATACAAACACTTTTTGGAATGTCTGCACCATAGCGAAGGCAGAGTTAGGACCATCTTGGAGAGGCAGGCTGGGAACCCCCCACAACATCCCCCAGGCTTGCCTCCTAGGGCAAAAGTCCTGAGGCTTCCGCCCACAGGACATGGCAGGGGGGGAGGAGGAGGGGGGATTTCTGGACTACATTCTGAGGTAGTCTAACCGTGACTTGCACAGGGAGCTGAAAATCATCCCCCCAAAAAATGGGGAGGAGGAGGGCAGAAAAGGTGCACAGACAGAAGAAGCTACTGTACATAACAGAAGGGACCTTGCTACAAGTAGGTTCAGAGATGACCAGAGGGTGTGGCCTGGGGTCACAAGTGGCCAGCGGTGGGCCCACAGGGACCCCGGGCGCACACTGGGTTCCTGATGCTGCAGCCGCGTGAAAAGGAGATGAGGGAATCCGTGGAGGGATTTCCCGGCCGGGAGCAGCACCACCTCTGAGGTGAAGGGTGTCCCTTGCTGATGACTCATGTCACAATGGGGATGTGCCAGAGAACGTCAGAGCTTTGGGGTGAGGCATCCCCAGGTTATTTCAGCTATGACTCCTCTCATGTGAACAAGTTCTAGAGAGAACTACCACTGCTAGACTTCAAAGTGACAGAGTAATCAGGTCAAAGCCACCGGTGAGAAAAATAACAAGAACAAAAATCAAAGGTGTTGCTAGACTCCCCTACTTTTTAAAGCTAATTTACATTCCTTTTCTCTTCTGCTCGAGCACTCAGAATTCTAAGTCAGGATGGAATGTTCTCAAGGCTCAGGAGGCAGCAGCTGTGTGGACATTAGTATTTTCTCTGCTTTCCACATTTCCGCAGACGTCTTCGAGGACGGAGCTCACCAAAGTCTTCCACTTCATTTTCGTAATCATCTTCCTGAACGATACCTGTTTCAAAAGCAAAAAACATGTGCTGTGATGAGCCCCAGGGGTTATACACAACTAATGAATCGTTGAACACCACATCAAAAACTAATGATGTACTATATGCTGGCTAACTGAACATCATAAAAACAAACAAACAAAAAACCAGAAACAAAGTACAGAATGGTGATTTCTTTTTTCACTCCACTATTAAATATAACATGCTAGTAAAACCTGATGTCTCTGTAATCGTTTTAAATTAAAGGCGGGAAAAAAGCCTGAATCAGAGCCCAACTGAACACCCTTTTCTAGAATTAAGTTCTTATACAAGGATGGTTCCTCTGCTCTTATTTCAGAGACCTTTTTCAAATGGCAAAGAAATCAAACAAAACCTAAGCTCAACCACAAACTTGAGTTGGTATACCAGTTATCTTCCTTTTGAAACAATCATAAAAATTATAGTCCCAGCAGGCACTATATTCTAAAGATTTTTTACTGCCAAAAGTATGTGTGCCAAGTCCCTTCTAGTTTTTCCCAGCTCTGGGGTCTGGATTTTCCAGTAGTATCTGGATTGATTAGGAGGACCCACAGAACATTCTGGGGCACATGAAATATTTGAAGAAGAAATAAGACACAGCCAAAAGCGGGCAACAATTAAAATGGCAAGAGGGAAGACTTCCCAGATGATAAAGAATTTGACAAGATCACTCTGACTGTCATGAGAAACTTGACTCACTCCATATAAGCCCTTAACCCTCTATGGGAAGGTGCATGCAAGTTTCCCATGATTTTGTTTGCTTTGCTCACAAATGTGTTTGTTTTATATCCCCAAGCCCAAAACAATGTTGATACATACTAGACATTCAATAAATACCCACTGACTTACATGAATGGTTCACACAGGCGAGCATATTTACCAAGAGGAGGCTTTTCAATACTTTGTCTGTCCTTGGGAGTCACTGTATTGAGGCTGAGTAGTGATTAGATGTCATCGATAACAGCTCATGAGAGGCCAAAGAGGTTGTCGAAAAAGCAACTAAAGTGAGCCCTCCCAGTCAGCTGGGGAAACTTGGATACTATGTCGCTAATAATCTGACTGACTGGGGCAATGCACCCAGACAGTGAGTGGCCACTGTTGACACCATAGGCAACCCCACTTCACATTGACCTGGGAGTCAGCAGAACCAAGAGTCACGAGACCCAGAGCATTACCCTGGGATAAAGGGCTCCTTACCTTCCTCCTTTAAGTGGAGTTGTGTCTTCAGCCACTCCCGCGCATCCCTGACTGACCGGATCAGAATGCTGACCAACCGAAACATCACTTCCTCTGCTACAGGGACCAAAGAACAAGGTCTCTGAGTGAGGGGGCTGCTGCAGAGACCAGACCACTCAGTACTAGAGCCCAGGTCCCCACCTCCCGAGACCCTGTCTCTGTGCTTCCCCTGAGGAGGAAATGGGATAAGGACCCACAGCCACCTTCTGCCACCACAAACGTTACAAATTACAATTAAATACCATCACGGCATGTCTATAGAGAGTGCCGATAGCAAACCTCTCAAGGAAGCTTTGTTCAACATTTCACTAAACCTTAAACTAGAGGGTCCGGATTATAGAATAAGTTTTAAATACCTAGTTTCACTAATTTTATACATAACGTGACTTCCACGCAGTGTTGCTAAGAAATAGCTAATAAGGAAGTTAGAGGAAATCTGATTCAAACACCACGTAGGAACTCTTATTGTTGAAGTCTCACAGTTGGTATGGTTTAAGAACCCTCCTAAAAGGAAGACACCAGTTACACACCTCCGGATCTTAGTCAAGGGTTCAGTACAGAGTAGGTGTTCAAGAAATGATCACTGATGAACAGATCGGAAGCTCTCCTCAAGACTGAACGCTTTCCCTATATCCTTGCCACAGAACTAGTTAGCAAGCCCTTTTCTTGTCTGTAGTGCCAGGGGAAATCATCCTGACCCAAGATAATCACAATGTTTTAACGGGGGGCGGGGTGGTTCAAAGAATGGGGTTTTGCTGTACTTTGAGAACACACGTTCCTCGCTTGTATTTCTCGGCCAACGCCAAGTTCTGTCATCTCCAGGACAGACCTCACCACAAAAGGACTTGACTCTGACATGTGTTCTCAAAGCCTGGGTTCTAACACCATCTGGGCCCCAATTTCTAAGGACCCCTTACCGCCAGCCCAGGCCTTGCGCCTGTAGAGGTCCTCCACCGTATCTGAAACCTTCTTGATGTTCTCCTGGACCTTCCTCTGCAGCATGTGGCTGTGCTCTTTGGAGCCCGGGTGACTGCAGACCCACATGCTCTGCTCAATGTCCTGTACCACCAGCTTGCCTTCATCAATGGCCGGGTCCACGTTCTCGCGGAAAAATTCCGAGTACTTCTGATAGGCCACCTGCTGCCTCTGATGACCTTCTAGGAGGATGTGCTGCTCGTAAGACTCGCTATTCCTCTCCCGACCCTCCGTGTCTCCCAGCTCGGCCCTGGAAATGGCCACCGCCTCTGAAGCCTCTCCCTCAAATGCCTTCCCGGGGCTGAAATAGTTGTCAGGACCTCCGGTGAACTTCACCCCACACAGGTCGCACTGGGTCCTGTCGACATCGGCCTTCTTGAAGTTCCCGACCCCGGGCTCCCTGGTCTCCTCCCGGAAGCACTCTGTCTGCGCACTCACCCTTCTCCTCCAGCTGATGCACAGGGACACCACCAGGCAGGCCCTTCTCAGCTTCCGCTGGATGGAAGCCTTCCGCTGCTTCTGGGAAAGGATAGCAGCCAGGAGGCGGTCCCGGTCGTCTGAGGCCAACTCATCTGTCTCGTCCTGACCAAACTCGCACTCTGGCTCAGCAAGGTAGTCCACGGAGTCCACACAGAGCAGGCGGCTTAGTTTCACTTCCTCGTGGTAGAGACCGCGCACCACGGGCCCCTTGGTGTGCACGCTGTCCCACCGCCAGTGGCAGTCCATCAGGTACTCTTCGTCCCGTTCAGAGAGCAGGTCCTGCAGCGCCTCAGCCACAGACTTCACGGTGACTGCCGTCAACACCCGCTTGACCACTTTCAGGAGCCTCTCGGGAACCTGGTCCGGGCAGTCCATGCTCATCTGCTGCAGCCTCTTCTGGATCTCCTGGAAGTGGCGGTGCAGAAGAGGTTTGCAGCACGGCTGCAGGAGCTCCTTGGCATTCACCAGCATCACCAGGCACAGCACCAGGGTCCGCTCTGCCTCACCAGACACCACGTACTCTATCTCAGCGAAGGCATCGAGCAGGACATTGAAGTTCATGTTCTCACAGCCGCAGAGCACCTTGACGAGGTAGGAGAGGTGGAACCGGAAATCCTGAATGGCCCTTGTCACGTCCTTGGGTTTGTATTCCTGAATGATGCAGAACACGTCCCCGAGCTCCCTGTCTTTCTTGCTGAACAGGAACTCCCAGTAGTGCAAGAGCGCAATGTAGCTCTTGGGGAGGCAGAGGATGGCATTCTTCAAGAGGCGGGCCAGAACCACCGCACAGTGGACAAATTGGAACTCCAACAGGGCCACGGTGTTCCCGATGCTGGGGATGAGCGGTTCTTTGCACCTCTTGACCAGGACATTCATAAAGCGGAAAAAGAGCCTCTTGTAGTCTTCTGGGTTCCTGTATACATAGAACTGGTCAATGCAATTCTCCAGCAGCCGGATGAAGCAAAGGTGGGTCTTCTCGGTATTGTCGTCATCCTTGTTGGGTGCCAACATGCCGAATTTTCCTTCTATTCCCTTCATCTTGCTGCCTCTCCCCCTGCCCCTTTCCTCTTTTTCAGCCTCTAGAGCTTTGAGTTCCCTGTTGTAGCTGTCCTCCTCCTGGTGGAGTAGCTTTTCAAACTCCTCCGGATAGTTGGAGGAGACAAGGAAAGCCTGCATGGCGCTCAGCCACAGGTCCGTAGACTCCCGGCGGCTTCGTGCCCTTTTGTTTTGAAACAGAAAATGGATGTACTCTTTCAGAGCAGACCTGCAGGACCGAAAGGATTTGTAGTTTGTTTTGAGGATTTCTTTGCACGCCATGGGGTTTTCTGACAACACTCTCTGATGGAAATGCTTAGGGAAGAGGACATTCAGGAAGGATTTGCAAAGGCCATACGTATCTGTAGGCAAAATATAATCAATTTCTTCAAGTTCTTCTGCCAAGATTTTAGGGAATACTCTTTTGGCTTCCAAAAGCAACCCACTGATGGCCACCAAGTGCATTTTTGACTGAACCAAACACTTGGCCTCACAACGCCGCAAAGGCCTGTGGAAATCTTTACAGTTTTCATCCTCACATTTCAAGCCTACAATAAACCTCATGCAGACGCCTGGGTAGGTCTTCCCAAGCAGGCTCCGTGTGATCTGACACAGCCTACTCAAAAGGTGTTTGTTGAGGGCTAATTTCACTTGGTCAGTCATTATCAAGAAATAGTCTTTTGTTTTCTTCTCTTTCAAGTTCAAATCCAGGTCAAAAATTATTTTTAATATGGGTCCAGGGTCATTCTGAGCTATCTGGCAATACTTGGCATCCACCTGGGAAATTCCAAAAAACTCAAAGCAAGACTTGACCATCTCCTTCTCCGCATTGTTGGTCACTCTTTTGAGGGCCCTGACCAGATTGAGGAGGACTTCCAGACCCCCCGGAGCCAGGGCCAGGACCTTCTCAGGCTCGGCCTCACAATGGCTGGCAGCTTCGTAGAGCGCCTCCACCACTCCAGCTGAGTGATTGAGTGTGTCAAACTTGAAGAAGGCATCCTTGAGCTTTTGAAAGTCTCTCAGGATCACCCCCTGGAGGAAATGGGCCTCAGCGATGCCAGACAACTGATTGGTTTGATAACAGAGGTCAAGAGTTTCTCTCAGAATGGCCTTGGTGTGCTCTACATCTGAATCCCTGGCCACATTGAGGCGGGCAGCCCCCAGCAGACACGAGGCCTGGAAGTCCTTGTCGGCAGTGAGCCTGGCAGCCTCCAACAGGCAGCCATGTTGCTTCATCAGCAAGGCAGCCTCTTCTCGCCGACCTTCCCTGTTCAGCAGTTCTGCAGCTTCTGCAAGCCGTCCGCGAGACTTCAGGAACACCAGCTGGTCTTCTATGTCTAGCTTCGAGAGGACAGTCATCATCTCCTTGATCTTATTTGCACTCAGGTAGTTTGCTGCCACTTCCAGGTAAAGCTGACTGGCAGAATAAGACAGCTTGGATATAGGAAGGGTCTTGGCCCTTAGCATTTCTTCGTACCTGCATCGACAGACAACACAAATGTCAACTCATTACCACCCAAAAGAAAATGTTCTCCAAAATACAGCATAGAGCCCGTTAACTACAATTCCCACATGTAGATATAAATAACAAAATAGGACCTAAACCTATCCAGCATCTTTACAAATGCTTCATTTCACATGGATAAAATTAATTCTTTATTCTCCAGAGGAACCAGCATTAGTGTATTTAATTAAAGAAACATAATGGAGTTGCAACCTACCCAAATGGAAGTTAGGTTTGAAAGTCAATTTGAGGGGCAACAATTACGCATAATCAAAATTATCCCTGAAAAAAAACCCTTAAACTTTCATAAAAGCATGATAATCATTTTGGGTCTACAGCTCCATTGAGTCTGAGACGGGACTAATGAGAAAGGGTGAAGACAGAGACTGCACACACACCAGCAGGACAGTAACCTTCCTCTTATTACCCAAACTGTGATTTTTTTTCTTCTGCCAGGTATGCATGTGGTTGAGTTAGAGTGAGATTAATGAGGCTTTGAATGCTCCCCTTTACTCTGCTGATCAAAGTCAGTATATCCCCTACCACAGTCCCACAGTTTTCGAGGCACTGGAACAATCCAAAAAACATGCTTGCTTTTGAACTCTCATGGGATAAAATCCATTTCATCACAATCAGAAAAGTGCCCAAGTGCCTTATGATGCCCCAGAGTTATGCTACAAATATCAGATTTCCTAGCAGAACAGGCTTCCCATGAGGGGTGTAAATAAAGATGAAGAAAGGGAGTACACTTTACATGTGAGCATCGGCTGATGGAGTAAGGAGTAGTTTTAGCAAGTATAAAGAACTACCCAGGTATTTTCTTTTCAAATTTAAAAAGTCCTCAATACACTGTGAGTCAAGCCAGTCAGCAGATGAATTCTACACCCAGTATGCATGGTGTTCAAAGGACACTCAAATAGATCTAGTGCGAGGCTCCAGTTAATACTCAGATTACACTTAGATCTCAACTCAACACATCATTAGAAACTCTCAGTTGTATACCTCAATAAAGCTGAAAAAAAAATAATGAAAGAAAGATGTTTCTGGGGAAAATCTATGACTGACTATTCAAGGCTCTACTGGAAAACTGAGGACTAAAGTTTAAATAACGAATTAAAAGTTTAAAAAAAAAAAAAACTCTCAGTCGGTTTTGTCTACGAACTCACAAGGGAATTGGCCTGGTCAATTACTCCCACCACCACTGCATAGCACCCTGATAACGGGGTACCCAATACATATCACAGCTGGTGTCCTGTTATGGACTGATAGTTTGTGTCCCCTAAAATTCATACAGTCAAGCCCCAACTCCCAGTGTGGTTGTGTTTGGAGATGGGATCTCTAAGGAAGTAGCTAAGGTTAAATGAGGTCACAAGAGTGGTACCTCGATCCAAGAGAACTAGTGTCCTTATAAGAAGACACCAGAAGGGGGCACCTGAGTAGCTAAGTCGGTTGGGTATCTGACTCTTGGTTTTGGCTTGGGTCATGAACTCAGGGTCATGGGATCCAGCCCCACATCGGGCTCTGTGCTCAGCAGGGGGCCTGCTTGAGGATTCTCTCTCCCTCTCCCTCTGCCCCTCCCCTCACTCGTGCACACACACTCTCTCTCTAAAATAATTTTTTTTAAAAAAAGAAGACGACACTAGAGAGTGAGCTCTCTTGCGTACTCTCTCTCCTCAAGTGTCAAGGAAAGGCCGCATGAGGATACAGGGAGAAGGCAGCCATCTGCAAGCCAGGGAAAGAGCTCTGAGCAGCAGCCCAACTGGCCAGAGCCTTGATCTTGGACTTCTAGCCTCTAAAACTAGGAGAAAATACATTTTTGTCATTTAAGCCACCCAATCTATGGCATTTTGTTATGGTAGCCTGAGCTGACTAATACACACCCATTGCATATATCACATATATAATAGTACCAAAGACCCGGATAAAAGAATATGCTCATTTACCAGCCATGGCCCTGAACACCTACTTTTCCATTTCCAAAAATAAAACTCAAAGTATTGAGTATCTTTATTGAGGTACTGGTTACACAAGTATATTAATTTTGTGAGAATTATGTGTACCTTTTTGAATATATACTTAAATAAAAGCTGATTTAAAAAATAAAAATCTGAAGTTTGAACATCTGGGTCAGTTATGTTCATTTTGTCATAGGTATAATTTGGTAGAAAGCAAAAGAAATGTAGAACCAACCCACACCCTACTTTTCCAGGAGCTGAGAGTGGACTCAACTCCTGCTCAGCAGAAACACAGAATAGCAGACTCTGATTCTAGCTGTCCCATACCACCAGGAAGATCTCCTAGGGGCATCAACAACATGCTATTTCTATATTCCTTGTCAAGCATTAACCCCACCATCTCCATTTCACCTTTGGAATATGAACTAGGCTAAAGGTTCAAGAAAGCCTCCAGTGGTCAAGTATGAAACTTATGAGGGTATGTGTTCATACACATATGTACGAGTGCATGGCTGAGGATCTGCCAGTAGACTGCGGTGAAGCAAAATCCTGATGGTCCACTAGTGCTCTTACCTTTATCCATCCATTTAGCAAAACTGTCAACTCAGCAGGTAAAGGCGGAAGAGGACAGAACCATCATTGAGCACAAAATTGCCATGTGTGTTATGTACACACTTGTAAAAAACCCTTCATCTTCTTCTACCCCTTTCTCCTCATGACACGGTGTCAAAGCTTATAAAGAGAGTAGAGTATATAAAATATACGTATACTAAGAGTGCGTATCCTAAAAGCACTGCAATGGCTGTCAATGGGGAGAGAACAGGAATGAAGACTGGCCATGAAGAGGAAGAGAATGAACAAACTAAAACCAATGGTGGGTTTGCTGTGAAGAGAAGATTATATTCCACTCTTTTTCCTCCCACACTTCCCATCCAGCTCCTCAGGTAATCCTTTAGGCTTGGCTCTTGCCTTCAAGGAGCTCCTGACCCAGCACCGACGCCACGACTCAAGTGGAAGGAGGGTGACATGGGCAAGCCACTTCAGAAGAGCAGGATAACACCATCCAGGGTAGGATGTCCCCAGAGAGCAGTGGGAGGGAGGGAACAGGGTGGAGGAAGGGAGAGAATAAAACCACCTACTTTTCCACTGCAATAGCAGCTTCTTCAAAAAGCCCCTCCTGGCAGTACATTTTGAGTGCTAGATCGAATTCCTGAATCTGCTCAAAGCATCTGAAAGCATCTTTGTAGCACTGGCTTCGCTTATAGTAACAGGCAGCATCTTTTATCTAGGACAGAGTAAAACATACTCTTAGAGTATTCATAGCATAACCTTTTATCTTAAAAATAAGCCAACACCATGAATAGTATTGTCTGCTGTTAGGATCCAGTGAAAAACACTAAGACATAGGTAATATTAGGAAAACAAATTCTTTATAGGGAGAAAAACAAAGTTAAATCCCAACCTCACACCATACACAAATTTAACCTTTAGATAGGTCAAAGATCTAAATGTGAAAGCTACTGGAAGAAAATGTATGACAATATCTTTGTGACCCTGAGGTAAAGAAAGACCTCAACAAAACCCAAAACACTCAAACATCAGGGGAAAAACTGATGGATTCGATTATATCACAACTGTTGAACAAAGGGCATGTGAAATAAAGTTAACAGAGAGAAGACAAACATTAACATCTAGACCAGCACTGTCAAATAGATCTTGCTGTGAAGATGGAAATGTTCTATAACTATGCTAGCCAATATGGTAGTCACTAGCCACATGTGAAGAGTAAGTGCATGAAATGTGGGTAGTGTAAAGGAGGAACCAAATTTTTTATTTCATTTCATTTTCATCAGTTTTAACCTTACTTTCCACCTGTGGTTAATGGCTACTGTATTAGACTGGACAGGTCTAGAACACTAAATGGATTCCCACAACCATAAGAAAAAAACTCCTGGAAACCCAGCAGAAAACTAGGTAAAGGATATAAAGTGGCAGGTCACAGTGGAGGGAAACTTGAATGACTAACAAATCAGTAAAGATGCTCAACCTCACTAATAAAGAATTGTGAATTAAAACCACATTGGTCTCAAATCCATGAAGTTTACAAAAATTAGAAAATCAGAACCCATTGAATGTGGTCAAGAAGGTGGGGCACATGGAACCCTAATGCAAAAACTGGCACCGCTGTTCTAGAAAGAAAAGTAGCTTCCACTTTCACCTAGTGAAATTAAGTACATGCATACCCTAGGGCCAGCAAGCCCACTTTTGGCAGCACCCAGGACTGGAAGGAGACACGCTACGCCACAGTCCTGTATGCGGCAGCAGGTAACTTGGACGTTCACCGCTAGCGAAATGGATAAGTCAAAGGCAGGGATGCCCGTTCTGGATTACTGTCAGGGGTCAGAAATCTGGCCAGACCTTAACACTATAGCAGGGCGCGGAAAAAGTTAAAAAAAAAAAAAAAAAAAAAAAACAGAAAAATAGGCCATTTAAATAAGCTTAAAATATATATGTATAGAAAATATTACTATTTACTCTTCACTTATGCATGCAAATGGGGGCTCCACATTAAATGCACTGGAATGGCTGCCGGTGAGGAGACAATGGGAACGGACAGCAACCATGAAGAGCAAGAGGACGAACAGACGAAAACCACCAGTGGGTTTGCCATGGACACAAAATTCTACCCCACTCTTCCTCCCACACTTCCAGCCAGCCCCTCGGGTAATCCTTCATGCTTGGCCCTCCCAACGTTTGCCCAAATTCCCTTCCCACCACCTCCAGCACCCTCATGGCAATCCAAGCCACACCATCCAGCCTCGGCCTCCTCCCCACTGGCCTGCTTCTACTTTTGCTGCCTACACACCTCCTCCCAGAGCATCCAAACAATGAACTCCATGTCACTCCTGCAGTCAGAACCTTCCACCGGCTCCCTGTCAGCTCTGGACAAAATCCAGTCCCGACCATGGACTTTGAGGCCCTACCTGATTCGCTCCTGCCACCCTCTCTTGCTTATTTTACCACTTCCACCCACTCACTCTGCTCTGGCCCAACCAGCTCTCTTGCTGTTCCTCAAGCTCCCTGACGTGCTCCCACCTCGGAGGGCTCTTGCCTGCAAGGATGCTTGGCCTGCGATGCCCTGCAGCACTGCTTGCAGTCTCTGCTCAAAAGGCAGTTCCCTTAACTATAGAGAACAAACTGAGGGTTGGAGGTGGGTGGGGGATGGGGATTAAGGAGGGCACTAGTGATGACAGGCACCCAGTGTTATACGTAAATGATGAACCACTGAACCACTCTACTCCTGAAACCAATACTGAACTGTATGTCAACTAACTAGAATTTAAATTTTAAAAAAAGAACAAACAAAAAAAGGTAGCTCCCTGCCCACCCCCTGCCTAAAACAGCGGCGCCTGACACCTCTCTCCCCTGTTCGCCTGGCCTCATCAGCACAGGCATCTCTTATGCTTCCAGCTAGTCTGTCATCCCTCTCCCACACTAGGAAGGCAGAGGCCCCTGCATTGCCACCTGCTGGCCACTAAGCACCCAGAGTGCCTGGCACCCAGTAAGGGCCCATCTCTTCACGTTGAATATTTCGTTTCAAAATTCTACTCGCAGCACCTGAGGTCCAAAGAGAAAACAAAATCAAAGTGAAACAAGACAAAACACATATGCCAGGCCCTCTAGTAAATCTGAGCTGCCTTTTATTTCTCTAGACAATCTACACCAAGCGCCAAAATACAAAGAAGATCCAGGTACAAGGCTCTTCTATGTCCTTACAGAGCAGGGAACATCTAGATCCATCTCAGCCACATGAATACAACCCCATAACCCGAGCACCTACCACCCCATCTCTTGTCCTCTCCTGACAATGCTGATTACTCAGAAGGAAAACCCCCAAGTGGGAAAGCACGTCCTCTTAGGTGCCAAGCTTGTGCCCAACCAGAGAGAGAACAGAGGGCTGACTCTAAGCGGCAGCCCCCTGCTCTGCCTGTCTGCTCCCTGAGGGGAAGGGTCCCCACCTGCCATCCAGAGCAAGGGCCTTGAGAGGTTTCCAGGGAAACCAATGTCTCTCTCAGGCAAGAAGCAGGTGAAGCAGAGGAATCCCTGCAAAAAAAAGTCTTATACCCCCAGGGCCGCCTCACAAACATTTATTTGCGGGGGTAGCACACATCTGGGGGCTGGGAACATGGAGGCAATTTGGTCTAAGGATGTTGACAAACACTGCTGCCAAGCTGATCAACTTGAATCGTGCTGGTTGGTTTGGTGGGAGGACCACATGAGGTCTGAGGCTCAAGTTGGACCCCCTTCCAGGGAGGAGCCTGAGCAAAGAAAGAGATCAGCCCCTTCCCTGGGTGGGGCTTGGAGCTGCTAGAACATACAGGGGAGAGGAAGTGGAAGAGGCTGCTACCAGAGGTCAAGCCTGTGGAAGGGGAAGGAAACAGGGAAGGCTGTGTTTCCAGGAGCAGAGCGGCCTCCACATTTTGAAGACACTGAAGTCCCGAGGAAGGGAACATAGGCTGTACTAATGGCCTCCTGGTCCCCGGGCCTCCTATTTTCCGAGGAAGAGCTTGCCAGGCTGGGGGGAGTTGGGTGGGCAACGTGAGTAAGGAGGAGATCTCTGACTCTGTCGTGGCAGACACTGGTACACAAAAAGGGGACACAAAGGCTTAGGCTGGTTCCCTGTAGCCGTCACCACTTAGGGTCCAGGTGGCGGCATGGGAGCCTGAAGGGCTGGCTACTAAGGAACACGGTAAAGTTGGAAGCTACCCTAGTTCCTAGGACCTTAGGACCCAAACTCCCACCCGCCCTGAAATCCTTATCCTATCCCCATCTCCCTCACCCTAACAAGTCACATCCCCTAATAAACAGGGGGCAGGGCAGGCAGCACCAGGAGGGCCTTACGATCTTTACACGGACTTGGGGCCACACTTGAAAGTCCCCGGTAGGTGCCACCCCCACCCCACCCAATGCCCAGGGTGCTCTGAGGATCCAGGAGCTACTACATTTCACAAAGACATGTGGAAACCCACCCCCCTCTTGGAGGGGCATAAAGCCCCTACCCCCGGGAGGAGGGGGGATGCAGCAGTCCCGGCTGAATCGTGTGAGGTACGGCATGGTGGCTATAGTTACCACTGTATTGTATATTTGAAAGTTACTAAGAGAATAGATCTTAAAAGAGCTCATCACAAGAAAAAAAATTTTGTAACTCTGTATAGTGATGGACGTTAATGAAACTTACTGTAGTGATCATCTCACAATACATGCATGTATCAGATCATTAGCTGTATACCTCTAACTGATATCATTTTACATGCCAATTATATCTCAATGAAAAAGACAAAGGAATCACTAAAAAAATCATCACCGGTTGGAGGTTACGGCAATGCCAAAGTGCTGTGACAGTCTCTCACTGGTTACTTTCATCTTCTGTGTTGATCTTGTTGCAGACAAATAAAAATCTGTGGCCCACCACCAGCCTGCCGACCACTCTGTGAGTAGCTAAGTTCTAATCAGCGGCTCTATCCAACAGCGCTTTCTGTGATGATGGAAATATTCTGGAACAATGAGCACTTCAAGTGTGGCTAGTGAGACTGAGGAACCGTATTTGTAATTTTATTACATTTTCATTAAATTATAAATTAAATAGCCACATGTAGCTGGTGGCTGCCAGATTGGTTGGTGCAGATCTAGAACAATTACTGAGAACGCAGAAAAACCACTATGTCAATGCCAGGCCATTCACACAGGCAGACTCCAGACCGAACATGGAGGACAGGAAGGGAGGATCCAAAACCCACCTCCCCTTTGATTTGAACAATTGGGGGCGCCTGTGTGGATTAGTGGTTAAGCATCTGCCTTCGGCTCAGGTCTTGATCCCAAGACTCTGGGATCGAGCCCCACATCGGGCTCCCTGCTCAGCGGAAAGCCTGCTTCTCCCTCTCCCTCTCCCCTGGCTTGTGTTCCCTCTCTCGCTGTGTCTCTGTCAGATAAATAAAATCTTTGATTTGAACAATTGACCTTCCTGTGATTAACATCAGGTCGCAAACATTCACACAGATGTGGACACGCATGCGCACACACACGTCTTTGGAGCCACGTAAACACTCGTGCAAGTGGAGAAAAGGTGGCTGCCCTATAGTCTTCAGAGCCGACCTCTCCCTCTTTGGAGGCCCAGAGCCCCTCCCTGACTCAAGCAGGGGCTGAGGAAGCCCAGTTCTCCCAGCGGAATGCAGGCTAGGCCCGTACCTTCCCCAGCCTCTCGCACAGCTGGGCGGACAGCTGGAACTCCTTGGCATAGCTCAGGCACTTAAGGGACAGCTTTGGCTCCTTGCACTCCAAATAGGTCTTGGCCAGTTCCAAGTACTCCACCTGCTTCTCCCTGGAGAAGGGAGAGAAAACAGAGTACCCATGGAATGGTGACCTAGCCCCAACAGATCCCACCAGCTGATCTCACCAGAGCGGCCCTGAGATGACCCCCGAGACTCTTACTTGGGGCTGACTTTCTTGGATTTCATGTTCAGAGCAGTGTTGTGGGCCAGCGCCAACTTCTCCTTCTCAAATGCACCTCCTTTCTGGTAACACTTGGCGGCAACCTAAAACAGGCAAAATGTCTTGATTCCCAGCAAGGGAATGGAGGTGACATACAAAACAAGGGTTAAAGCACACGTGCCATGTTTGCACTGACAAGGCAGTGAGTCTCATCCCAGCCCAGCCTGTGGGGGAGGAGCAGGAACGTGCTGATGAGCTAAAAAAAAAAAAAAAGGCCTCACAGGACAAAGCCCAGTAATGTTACCCGCGAACACTTCCCACTCAAAGGTTCCTTTTGAAGTGCCCAGAGAGGTGCCTGGGTGGCTCAGTCGGTTAAGCGTCTGCCTTCGGCTCAGGTCATGATCCCAGGGTCCTGGCATCGAGCCCCACATGGGGTTCCCTGCTCAGCAGGGAGCCTGCTTCTCCCTCTCCCTCTGTTCCTCCACCCCTGCTCGTGCACACACTGTCTCACTCTCTCTCTCAAATAAATAAAATCTTGAAAGTGCCCGGAATCCATGGAAAAGTTATACAGAATATATTTTTATAAGCTGCCATAATTAACACCCTCACTTAATCTTCCAATAGCCATGTGTGAGAAGTTTCATCCTTCTCATTGTATATAGTAACAAAAACACAGAGCCATGGGCCCAAAGTCACCCAGTGGCTCTTCTGGGCCCCACACAGGTTCTCTCTAGATGGTAACTATAATGGCTAACCAATAGTCTTGGTGAAACAGCCGCAGCACAGAAATGGGGGTAGGGATGGGGATGGAGATGGTGTCACCACACATCCCAGAAGATAACTGGCTAGAGCCCTGGGTCATGCAGGTCTGTGTTAGCAGGTAGAAAGTGGGCAGACGAGCATCACAGGAATGTTGCCTGGACCCCCATTCCTGCCAGCAGAAAGCTGCCTTTCTAAAGCAGGAATGCTGATACCATGTCTCAAAGCACAGGCTATAGGGCAGAAAGTCACGTCTGGTCCAGCATGTAAAGATTAGGTCTCAGTGTGGGCGAGGAAAGGATTAAGTAGACAAGATGACATCTTGTTCCCTCAGGCTCTTTGCCTCAGCTTCCCCAGCCTCATGGGCCTCCTTGCATTCCCGTGACCTGTGCCACACTCTTTCTCACCACAGGACTTTTGCACATGCTATTCCTTCTGACTGAAATGCTCTTCCACCCCTTCTCTGTCCACTTAACTTCATTCATCTTATAGGCCTTAGCTCAAGGCTCCTACTTAGAGCAGCCTTCCCTGGCCTCCCTGTCCAGGACGGGTGGTTCTAGGAGCAACAGGTCTCTCCGCGATGATATCTGTAACAGCTGGAGCTGGACACTCTTCTGAGTGCCTGTCCCGCTCACCATCACATCCCTGCAACCTAAACATGATGTTTGGCCCACAGCTCAACAGGAAATTTGTTGAATGAATCAATCTCAAGTGATTGCCATTTGTATGGTGGTTCTGGAACGTTCACTGACATGCAGCCAAAAGCTCAATAAACCACCTGAGTCCTGAAGTCCTTTAGCGGAATCAAAATAAAATCAGGTGAGAAGGCTTTTTATAACATTCTCATCTGTGTCTATTCCCATAAAAAAGGATTTTAGATTCAAATGTTCAAAAGGCTCTTGTAAAGGGATAAAGAATTGGAAATCCATAGGCAACACATATGGAGTAACACCAACAGTGTTCTGAAGGGAATAAAGGGAAAGGCTATCCAGTTTTCCAATTTCATATCCATACCTGCTGGCCATATTATCCCGCCCTTCCCTCCCTGCTCCTCCCCCGAAAAAGGATCTTGGTTTTACAGCAGCAGCCAAGTTTTAACAAGGATGGGCAGTGAATAAAGTTTCAGAGCTCTGTCAGCCTCCAGCCGCTAAATACTACAGATTTGTGCAAACGCTTGGCAGACACGCCCAAACACACAACAGCGCGCATTCTGTTCTCTCACCCTTTAGCGCTGACTGCAAGGTGGCAACAGTCCACCCATGCCCCTTTACCGTGTAATTCTGCAGCTTCTCCCACCCATGCATAGACATGCTGCCTATGACCCCTCCCTTCAGATCTGGGCCATGACCTGCTCTGGCCAACAGAATGTACCAGAAGCGACACAGGGCCAGCTCCGAGGCCAGGCGTCAGGGGGCCCCCTATGCTCCTCTGCTCTTTGAACGCTGCTGAGGCACCAGATGAACGAGCCCAGGCTCACCTGCTGGAGGATGAAGTGCACGTGATTCAGGAACCCCATTCACCCCCATCATCTGAGCCAAGAGCCAACCAAGCCCCAGAAGCAGACCTGCTTGTGGACTGGTTGCTGAGTTCAGACGTGGGTCACCCGGCTGAGACTACAGGAGCCACTCCGCTAAATTCGGCTGTTGGTTACCAGCCCACAGGATACCCCTCTCCCTCCCTTGCGTGATGGCAGAACCTGCCTGCCACGAAGGGCTGAAACTGCAGGATGGGACTGCTCTCCCAGACTCCCTGGCAACAGGCATGGGCATGTGACCTAGTACCGAGCAGTGAGATGTAAGGAGAAGTCTACGGGGAACTTCATGATAAAGAAAGAGACCCCCGAGAAGAAAGGCGTCCGCCCTCCAGCCCTGCTTGCGATGCTGCTGAGGGGAATGGGCTGCATGGCCTGCTGCAGTCATTGTGCTTCTGACAAGCCTCAGATGACACAAGGAGGAAATGGAATGAGACAGGGCCCATGATGAGTTTGTTGAGCTGAAGGTGTCTGTGCCTTGCAAGGGGAGACATCATCACCATTGCATCCTGGGAAACACACACGCCACGGTGCCCCCCCGGAAACTGTGTGATGTGTAGGGATGCTGACCGTCGGGAGAGGGATGGGGCTCTTCACGCTGGTTTCACTATTTCCAGAGGACTGGTAGAGATAACACTGGCTGGAAGAAGACTGCTCAAGCTCACTAGGATGGCTTGTGGCCCAGAATTGGTCAACTGAGTCTAGTGATGAAGCCTAACCCCTGCTCACCAGACTCAGCTTGGCAGTCGAGTCTATGTCGGATCAAATTTGAAAAACATGAAAAACAAATGACCAGTCTGTGACTATTCTAAAATGCGGTGGGATGACAGCAAAAATGTTTAAACACAGAGCACAAGAGGGAAAGAAAGTAAGCAGAGGGGTTTGTCAGCAGGGCAGAGGTCATGACTCTCCATTTTCCTGGCAAGTCATGCTGACACTTGGCCACGGTGGAGGGTTGTCATGCTTGCCCTGGAGAAGGAGCTGGGCGGGGAGCTCTCCTCATCGCAGGGTAGCCTGATGTTTCCAAAGAAGAAGCACAAGCACCACAGCCTTCGCCCTATCCTCCTGGCAAGCATGATGGTGGAAAACCTGCCTGTGAGGCCTGATGAGGTCACCAGTCACAAAGACCTCCCCCACTGGCTCCCAGCCCGGCTCCTTACCTTCCAGCACTGGTGTTTAGCATAATATTCTCCTTGTGCGATCCACTCCTCAGGCGTTGAGGTCTTAACAAACATACTGTCATCAAAGTCTAAAATGAAAAAAAAGTGGGTTTGCTACTCTGGGCGTCCATCCCCTTATGGGCTGAAGTCTGCCCCCTTCCCCCACCGCAAAAATGCATATGTTGAAGCCTAAAAACCTCAATGCCTCAGAATGTGGACTATATTTGGAGGCAGGGTCTTTAAAGTTGTGATGAAATTATAACAAAGCCGTTCAGGTGAATCCTAGTCCATTCTATGTCCTTACAAGAAAAGGAGATTAACACACACAGAAAGGAACACCAGGGGCTCACATGGAGGAGAAGCCATCTACAAGCCAAGGAGAGGGGCCTCAGAAGAAACCAAACCTGCTGACACCTTGATCTTGGACATCTTGCCTCCAGTACTGTAAGACAATACGGTTTGTGGCGCTTTATTACAGCTGCCCGGGCAAACGAATACACCTGTGCTGTCTTTCCAGGATTCATTTTAAGATGGGTTTTAGCTTACCAAGCCAGGTTGTTGTGTGTTTTGGAAGGAGGAGGCAGAGGGAAGAAAGGATGTTGCCCAGTTTTCAATCTTCAGTCTACCTTCCTCTCCTACGGCGATGGATTAGAAGACAGAATATTCTAATTCCTCCTTGAAAATCCAAAGCCATGTGGCTCTTGGCAAACTCCCACACAGGGGACAAGGTGACAGGGTTTTACAGTATTTTCAAACGTGCAGACTTTGCCCTCAGAGTAAGCAATGTGACACGTCCCCATCGGTGGACATGGACTGTCACAACCACCTGCTGTCAGGCCCTTCTGTTGTCACACTAGCCTGCTGGCGACCAGATCAGCCACCCCTCCTGCAGCCCCCCGAGCATCAACAGCCGTAGGCAACCCCTCTCTGCAGGTTCTGAGCCTCAGCTGCAAGAAGTATGTGGAAGACTGATGACCAACACAAGGTTGAGAGCCAAATCTGGGCCGAAGGGGTCCAGGATGCCCCGGCCCATGGATAGCAACGGGGGACAGCCAGGCAGACATGCCAGCTTCCTTTAGAAGGCACAAACTCCCTCTCGCTGGCCCTCTGCCATGCCCTGCAGTGCCGTGTGCAAAGATGACTTTGCAGCGTCTTGTCCTGACTCCGTGCGTGCTATCCGTGCTCCGGTGACATTTCATCCTCACAGGGAGCTCCCCGGTAGCTCCACCTAGGGCAGGCGAATGCTGCCAGCACGATGATAAAGACACCCAAATTACACAGTCAGTCCGCTCATCCCCAGCTCCCCCTGCACAGCGGGAACAGATGTTCTCACCGAGAACAGATGTACCACCGAGCAGAGAGCCCATGCACGTTACCATGTGCAACTTACAACACACTTAAGAATGTCCTTTTTCGTGGGCGCCTGGGTGGCTCAGTTGGTTAAGCGACTGCCTTCGGCTCAGGTCATGATCCCAGAGTCCTGGGATCGAGTCCCACATCAGGCTCCCAGCTCAGCGGGGAGCCTGCTTCTCCCTCTGACCCTCTCCCCTCTCATGCTGTTTCTCTCTCTGTCTCTCAAATAAATAAATAAAATCTTTAAAAAAAAAAAAAAAAAAGAATGTCCTTTTTCGTGTATTCTTAACGCTACCAAGACAGAAAATAAATTGTGATCTTGTTTCATTCGGAATCTTTAAATGAAAGAAAACTGCCTATCTTGATGATCTCTTATAACAGGTGCCAGAATCTACTCTGGGAATGAAAGGAATAGGCGCCACGAGGGAGATTAAGAATGACCACAGCAGGCCAGCCTGCCCCCTCCCTTTTCGTTGAAGAAGTGAAGGCCCAGGGTGAGAAAGTGGGTCTGGACAAGGTCATGTGGCTGCACAGGTAGAAAGTTTTGATGAGAAGCTAGGGTTTTTTCATTCCAAGACTTCAACTTTCCCCATAACACCCAACAGCCAGGGCCCAGAAACAGAACAGCTAACGCTGGTCCCCAACTGAGCCATTGGCTGCCACCAGAAATAGTCTCCATAAAACTGGCCAGAAAACGCTCAGGAAAGCAGCAGACCCCTGCACAGTGGCTGAGCCCTGCATTTTCCCCCATCCGTAGAGAAATTAACTGTGGCCTGGAGGAGCCGACTCAATGGCTAACTCATACGAAGGACAACAATTTTCTCCTTCATGAAGGGCTAATGACTTCTCCTGCGAGTTATCCTATCAGGAGATCTGCACTCCATTTTTTTAATTAGCCAGTAAGTGATCAAAACAACACACAATATTGGTTTGGCTTTTTAAACACTGCAAACAGCACAGAAGGGGAAAAGTGAAAGGTGTCCCTTTCTCCTCAACAAGTCGCACAAGTCCTAGGACCAGAGCAGCCCCCAAGAACAGTTTCTCACTGGTGGACACTTGGGTCGTTTTGTTTCTTATAATTACAAATGGGGCTGTGAGGAACACTCTTGTGCATGTATCTTTGAGATTTTATTACAAGAACATCTCTAGGATAGGTTCCTGGAACAGGAATTGCTGGGTCACTTTTAACCCAGCACATTTTTTATTTTGATAGATATTGCCAGTCAGCTGTCCAAAGACCATAGCAATTTGTGTTCCCTCAACAAAGCCTATTTCTTCTCAACCTCGCCCAGGACCCTCACTTTTTTTTTTTTTAAGGAGGCTCCACACACAACATGGGGCTTGAACTCATGACCCTGAGATCAAGAGTCAGACGCACTACTGACTGAGCCAGCCAGGGCCCTGCCATGACCCTCACTTTTAAAGGACCAATAATAAATCTTCCCTGAAGGTATTAACCTCCCCCCATCCCATTACAACCACACTTTCCCACACACCTTAGCAGTAAATACGAACTCTCATTTCTCAGAAGAATGTGGAAAGGAAGGAAAGTGCTTTCCAAAATCTAAATCCTTTATACCTGACCATAAGAAGAAGTTGAGAGTAACGTTCTGTTTTGTTTTGTTTTGGGGGGAATTATTATTTAAATGAGAGTAACATGTTTTGTTTTGTATCCAACAGCCAGAATATCTTAATGAGATCTTACCTTTATTTTCATCTGTCTTCACAACTTGGACAAACCTTCTTCTCATGAAATATCTGAAAGCAGGAGCCCGCTTCTCTGGGGTTTCATCAAAGATCCAGAGGTTCACCCGGGCCCGTGTAATGGCAGTATATAGTTGCTTCAGCTCTCCATTGAGGAGCTAAATTGAGGACAAAAACGGAGAACTTTTTGTCTAGAGCTTCAACGTGATACACTTCAATTTGTTGAAATACAAAAACCAAATTTCAGTATAGCAGAAGCGTGAGCAGGACAGGAGGCTCACTGTGGCCTCAGCACAGATAAGTGAAGCTGTAGCAAGGGAGAAACATTAGCACAGGCCTGCCCTTATCGGCTGTAATTTTATATTTTGAAATAATCATAGGTTCATAGGAAGGCACGAAGATAGTAACAGAGAGGTCCCATGTACATTTCACTCAATTTATCCCAACGGCTACATCTTACACAGGTACTATACCTTATTTTTACAAATTAAGCCAGTCCTACACTTCTATGACCACTATCATTAGTACAAAATTACTCATGACCTATGCCATGATTGAGGGCCGCAGATATAAGGAGGTTATGACTTGAACACAGGGAGGGCCTACTTGATTAAATAATGCACAGTTCCAAACAAGAGTGGATTTGTGGCTACCTAGAGGTTTGCATAGCTTGGCAGTGATTTAACTTTTATTTCTTTTTTTTTTTAAGATTTTATTTATTTATTTGAAAGAGAGAGACACAGCGAGAGAGGGAACGCAAGCAGGGGGGATGGGAGAAGGAGAAGCAGGCTTCCCACCAAGCAGAGAGCCCGATGCGGGGCTCGATCCCAGCACCCCGGGATCACGACCTGAGCCGAAGGCAAACGCTTAACAACTGAGCCACCCAGGCACCCCTTAACTTTTATTTCTGAAGACCTTTCTAGGCATTTACTGAAATAACCTGATAATTGCTATTCTGTTTGTTTTATACTTTGTACAAGACATAAAACTAGGGCGGTAGTTTCTCCCCAAAGTTTTTCATTTTACTCGTTCAATTTTCACTCTCCCGAGGCTCCATCAACCTCCCTCAGTCAAGAACTCTGCAGAACTGCTCAGCTTTAGCCTCCTTCTCAGTGAGGCAGCTGCGATGTGAAGGGAAAAGGAAGCTGGGTCCCTTCATGGCGTAGTGGAGAAAAATTTGCCACCCCAAAATGTGTACTTCCATCTCTTTGGCATGTGGATTATTTTAGGCTGATTATTTTTACTTTTTTTTTTAAGATTTTACTTATTTATTCATGAGAGATAGACAGAGGGAGAGAGAGAGAGAGAAAAGCAGAGGGAGAAGCAGGCTCCCAAGGAGCAGGGAACCCGATGCGGGACTCTATTCCAGGACCCTGGGATCATGACCTGAGCCGAAGGCAAACGCTTAACATCTGAGCCACCCAGGCGCCCTAGGCAGATTATTTTTAAGAAACAAAAGGTTCACGAAGAACCTTTGACCTTCCCCCTGACTTCCTAAAAGAATTTAGACAGAGAACCTGCTCCAGGAAGGGAGCAATCACCATAGATAACTGTAGTATATATGAACTAGGGGTGCTAAACAGGGAGCTCCATAGCAAAGCCTGTTTGTGTGAACTCCTCTGTGTCCCATTGATCTGGATGGCCCAACAAACATCTGCTTACCAAACATTCACGTTTTTCGTATTCTTGTGAATTGCTTTCTTTCCCTTTGAAGTTCTAGAACCCTACACCTTTCTCCTTGGGACAGATACACCTCATTTTGCCTACTTTTGGAATCTCATGTTTATGTTGATTCCCTGTACATACATAACTAAATTTTATTTTCTTAACATTTTTTTAAAGATTTTATGTATGTATTTGAGAGAGAGAGTACGAGCGAGAGAGCAGCAACAGTGCGTGCAGCAGAGGAACAGAGAGAAGCAGACTCCCTGCCGAGCAGGGAGCTAGATGCAGGGCTTGATCCCAAGATCCTGGGATCATAACCTGAGCCAAAGGCAGAGGCTTCACCAACTCAGCCAACCAGGTGCCCCTAAATTTTATTTTCTTCTGTTAATCTGTTTCATGTCAATTTAATTTTTAGACCAGCTAGAGGAATCTTAAAAGGCAGAGAAACATTTTTTCCTCCCCAACAATAGTCAGGCCTGGTATACAAGTATCCATGAATTATTGTCCTGGACTTCACGTCTGAGTTCCCTGTCAGCAACTTCAAAATTTCTGAAGAGAGCTGAACTCCAGAGGTGACTAGAAGGTACAACCCTCCCCCTTTCACTTTCAGACAGTGCCCCACCCATCAAGCCCCACTCTCTGCTGAGAAAAGAGAGTTTGCCAACACTGAGATCCCTGCCATGCCCACTCCCATCCTCCACTCCCCAGTGCTGATGCACAAGAAAACCAGTCAAGTACCGGGCTCTATTTTTAACCTCATCTTCTCATACAAACCTTGTTTACTGCCCTCCCCGTGTCAAATAAGCATGTGGACAAATGGTAGAAAATCACCTTGTACATTTCTGGATTCACCGTGAGAGACCGACCCTGGGAGGAGCTGGCTTTCTCCAGGGGCACTTCAATCAGTGGTTGGTTTTCCTCTCTGGAGTCAGATGATGAAGACGTAAATGAAGAAATGATCTTCCATTCCTTGTAAGCCTGAACAACAATGACAAATTAAAAACCAACAGAATATAACCTTGAACTGTACACACAGCCTCATGATGAATTAAACCCCCTTTTCCTGGCTTGGGGCCCTCAGCCCAGCTGCAAGGAGGGGGCTATCCTATGGCCTCAGTTGGGGGGACCTCAGGTGGCACAGGCAGGGAAAGGGGAAGCTACCATGAAAACTCCCCCAGACACTTGGCCAAGATGGCCGAGAAGCCAGGCACACATACCCACTTCCAAGAGGAATGCTAAGCATCCAGGAAGTTTCTTGCTTAAAGAATTTCCACAAGCAGTATGGAGGGAGGAACCCAGGGTCCTTCAGCCCTTTTCACAATGTGTGAGAGATGCCACTTAGTGTCAGCTGTTAAGACATATATGACAAAATTCTCTAACTAAATTATTCACCCAAGGATGGAACAAAATTCAGGAGCTGTGGAGTAAAGTGTGCACAGGACACTGAGATCAGACAACACATCTGTATCTCAGTTTTTTCACTCATTAGCTACGTGACCTCAGAAAAATTGTTTATTTCCTCCATGTCTCCTTTTCCTGCTCTGTAAAATGGGGATGACAGAACTACCCAAGTTTATTGGGAAACAAAAGGAGATAATCAATGTCGAGTGTCTAACACAATGCTTGACAAATAGTTGAGATTTTAGCCATGTGTCCCTTTATCCAAACTCAAACCACAAAACCATAGTGACTATATAGATCAGAAGTTGGCCAGTTTTTTTCTCTGAAGGGTCAGAGGATAAAAATTTCAGGTTTTGTGGGCCATGTGACCTCTCTCACAACCACTCAAGTCTGTTATTATGATGCAAAAGCAGCCATTGTCAATTATGTAGATGAATGGGCTTGTGTGTTCCAATAAAACGTTATTTTTCAACACTAAAACTGAATATAATTTTCATGTGTCATGTAACATTATTTTCCTTTGATTTTTTTAACCATTTTTAAAAATGTAAAAACCACTGTTAGCCCACGGGCCATACAAAAGTAGACAGTGGGCTGGATTTGGCCCTGGGGACCATGGTCGACAGACCCTGCTAAAGCTAAAGTGCCCAGAATACATGCAGTATTTAGAGGGCAGAATTCCTATGACATTTCAGATTTCATACTTTACTGAATCTTGTGAGTAGCTAGTTAACTCCCCTCAGCCTTTACTTTTCCATGTATAAAATGGTGCTCCTTGCCACCTACGTATTTTCTCAAGAATAATGAAAACATGGAGTGGATACAGTTCACGACCTTCTTTAAGTCACCCCATAACTTAAACTAATAAGTATCAGGTTAAATGCTTTAAGCAATCTAATTTATTTAATATTAATCAAATTATTATTACATTAAAATTATTTTAATATTAAAAAATAAACACTGTCTATTAAGTAAGGATGGTTATGCACTAACCAATTATGGAATTAATCACCATATTCTGAAAAGAGATGTGAATCATGTAATCATTGAAGTAGTTGGGAGTTAAAAAAAAAAAAAAGCCTCAGGACACATTTATGACTGTCCTCTTTGTAGAGCCATTCACACTCTGAATTGCTGGCCAAGGAAGGCAGGCAAAAGACACAAGCGTTTTGACATTTGTGAGGCTCTCCTGGCAGACAGCGTGAGGTGCAGACCAGCCGATCTTGGAAGGGCTAGTGAAGCACAACATATTTTAAAACTGCTGAATGAGAAGGAGAAGCCGCTCGTATGGTGCAGGACTAACCTGTTTCCAGGAATAAAACATACTTTACTTTCAAGATCGAGCCTCTGAGGAGTACGTGTATTTGTGGCAAGAATACAGGCCTACAGCACCTCTGACAATAAAAGAAGCAGCATGTAAGTCTTCCAGCTTCTTCTACTGGGACTGATCATTGTGAAGGTCACCTTGGTGGGGCCTGTTCTCTTAAGTGAAAACCATAAAAGCTGTGGTTTTCAAAGTCCCTCCTGTCCTATTCACACAGGAGGATGAAGGAAAGGACTCCCCCGGGAGTCCTTACATTGGGGCTGAGTGTAAATGCCAAGCACCCTTCTAAGTCCCCACAGGAGGAGAGTTTGGGGGTGACTGGGAGAAAGACTGCTGCTCCCCGAAATGAGGCCAAATCCTAGAAGAGAAGGATTTGGCGTAACCATTCCTTGGTCCCTTCCCCATCTCAGAAGATGGCCCTGGCAACTATGTGGTTGAACAGGGAGCAACAAACCCTCTAAAGAGAAGAATCGCACACCAGGACAACAATAACACCCCCCCCACACACACATGCACAAAGAGTGTGTTTGCCAGAAACATAAACCAGGGGTGGAAGAAGAGGCCAGGGGTGGAGAGAGGAGCTCTCCACTGTCCCCCGTGTCAAATACAATTACTATGCAGCAGCCTGCAGCCAGTCACCCCGAAGGAAACCCCACATGAGGAGCCAGGTGATTGAAGACTTAGGTGATCCCTGTCTTTCCTCTGCTTTGATTAGAGCATTTCCTCTCATTTAGAAATGAGATGTTTTTTGGTCTTAACTCTGTCGATGATAAATGGAGGGTGTGCTTTGTGCCGGGGGAATGCATAATGACATTCCTCAGGAACTGAGAAGGAGCACCACATCAGGAGTCTTTTTAGAAGTCTTATTGTGCACATGGGATGAAGTGGATGTTGCCAAAAAATTCCATTTGTGATTATTTTAATTTTATGCAACAAACTGAGCCATTGGTTGGGAGCACAGGGTCAAGACATCTGGGCCTTCGCCATTTCCAGGATCAGGGTGAGACAGAATAACTGGATTTTTCTTTCGCAAACAGAAGTGACCACAAGTTACAGATCCATAAGTCCAGAGCTCCTTGGGCTTCTTACTGGCACAAGCATACAACTGGCAGTTAATAAAGGACAGGAACAACAAAGTCTTACCCCTTCCTCTTTCAGCACAGCCTCGGTCCAACCATGACCAATGGATGTATTATGAGAAAAAAGAGTTAGTTCTCAGATATTAAAAATGGTTCCAGGGTTAATGAGAGTGCATCTGATTTCATTAACAAAAGTCAAAAGAAAAGGAATGCACCTAAGATATGGCAATGATATACTCATCGTGGAAGGTTCTGGAAGCCAATTTGCATGCGGGGCTTTAAAAGGAAAGGAGTACAGAGGAAAGATTGCAAAACTGAGAACTCAAAGCATCTGAGTTGGTCTCCAGGCTCTGGCACCTACACCGTGACTATGGGCAATTTACTTAATTTCCATGACCCTCAGCTTTATCTGTAGAATGAGGGTAACGAGAAGACATACAACCTCAGAGGGTTAGTGGAGGATGAAGGGAAACAAAGCATTGAAAAAGGGCTTTATAAACCGCGAAGTACCCATAGCAATAGTAGTCAGAGCTATCATCAAGGCAATCCTATTTTTTAAAAGATCAGGAAAAAAAATCAGGACTCCATTTAAAACAGTCAGTTCTGGGGCAGATTTAAGGTGTCAAAGCTAACAGTACAACAGCCCCTTCAAGCATGCACGATGTGCAGTGGGAAGTCTGCAACAGGGACCAGGACACAGCCAGCTACGTGCCCAGAGCAGACCCCCCAGCATAGTCAGCAGCCAGCCTGAGCACCCACCGAAAGACAGTGGTGAAAAAGAAACAAGTGGCTCGAGTTGGTGACTCTACCCATAATGTAGTGAGCTCGGCAAGAAAGACCATCCCAAGCTCTTGGACTCGGGAGCCAAGTCAAAGCGGTGGGCTGGCACGGAGGTCCTGCGGGTCAATCCAGAGACTCTCTCACTGCCATGGTCTGCATGGGCCGCAAGCAGGGGGGAGGTCATGCCAGAAGGGAGCTCCCAGGCGGGGCAGCTCTCCTCAACCCCCACATTACCTGATCCAGTGGCCAGGAACCAGGCCTCATTTGTCTTTCCGGAGTTTTCTCTTTCTATGAACTGAACTTTGCCCAGTTCTGTCCTCATAGGGTAGACACTGCTAACCTTGCCTTCATTTGTAAGGCTCTCCTTAGAGCTCACTCCAACTGGAGCATCCTTGGGAGTCAAGGATAACAGAGCTAGTGAACACTGGAAGCTGGCACTCGGGTACCAGGCATTCAGAAGAAAGAGAGAGCAGGGCAGGGCACGGGAGAACCAGCCCATGACATACTGGGAAACCACGCACAGCCACTGACAAAACCCATATCCAAGCACACAAAGCCCACACTGAATGGATGATGCTCCAGAACAGAAAGAGGTACCTGTGAGAAACTCACTTCTACTCAGCTCCACGTTCTCTTTCCCAGAGAGGAAGTGTAGCTCATACATATATATGCATGCACAGCGTGAAAAGCATTCAGCATAACATACCTCAGAGTCAGTAAAAAAGTTGTAAAGGAGGACATCATCAAATTCTAAACCTTTCGCTTCATACACGGTTAGCACAAGGGCTAACCCCAGCTCTTCCGGAATTTTCTCCTTTGCCATTTCATTAGCTACAAGGATTACCTGGGGGAGAAGGAAAGAAGAAGGAGATAGGAAAGAGAAAACATCAAATTCTACAAAAAGGGATCTTGCAAAGCTCAGTCCATTTGTGTGGGAGGCAGGTAACATCTTTAAAAAGAAGTGGCCTGCCTGGATTTGGTAAACCAAGCTAGCTGAAATATTAACAACTGCTCCCTCACCCAGATCTGAAATTGACCCATTCTGGCAGAGGAGCTATTGCACTCTATGCTGTGGAATAATTCGTTCTCCCAAACCTTTTTCCAACTGCAAACTGCCTTTGATGTCACAACATGAAATCCCAAAAAGCTCACCTGGTGGGCTCCGAATTCAATAGGCTGGGTTTTCCTTTTGTTCCCTCGTAGCAAAATTGCCAAGTCGCTCACACTACAAGACTCCAAGACAGTTGGCTTGGGACCATCAAAGAGGCCAGAATCCCTGGGGAGGCGATCAAAAGACTCCGGGAAATAGAACTGAAGTAAATCCACGACCCCAGATGCCAGACTGAGGATCCCTGAGGTAGAACAGAAAACACATGTCACATATGGAGCAACACGACAATAACATGGCTGTGGGTTTTGGTTTTGGTTTTGGTTTTGGTTTTGGTGCTTTTGTGCTTTGTTTGGTTTTTTAATTTGGGCTTTGGCTTTTTCTCTTGAGAAGCAATATTGGTCCTGATAGTATGGATAATTGCAAGTCAGATTCTAGTTCCCATTAGATTACCACTCTGCCCCTGCGTGATATTACTCCCAGTACAGGGGACGAAGGCAGAGATGCGTTGCTAAGGAGGTTCTGTTGGCTCTCGTTCCTGACCTATACTCATATTAGAAAAAATTACCTCATAGAGAAAAATCAAGACAGAAATATAAACAATTAGAGCTGTTAGAAAGCTAATATAAGCAGCTGGCATGGATGGTAAGGGAACAAAAATTATTCGGACCCTCTCACTGGAGCTTGGAGCCGTAGAGATGTTGTCATGGTAACAGCAGGGCTGAATGTTAGGTGGGGGCAGCAACCAAGGCCCCCATCACCTCCCCATCAGGTTTATACCCAGCCAAGAGGACTATCCTAAGAAAAAAGGTAGAACTGGAGAAAGGATTTCGTGAAGAGCTTTCTCCCTGGGTCCCCTTGCTTATCTAAGCTCTGAGTCACGTTGCCAGTCATGAGGAATGAACACTACCACAAGACAGGCACCTTTATAAAAATATCCCATTTAATCATTAAGACTGCCCAGTGACATAGACCGGACAATCCCACCCTTACAAGCAAAGACTCCAAGGTCTAAGGAGTTAGTAAAACCTCCACGTGACAGGATTTGAAGCTGAACTGAACACAGATCATCCTGGGTCTTCTCCATGGTTCACTTTGTGCCATGTGCCCTCTGCCTGATAGCAGGTAGAATGCCGTGTTCTTGGCAGAACACCATGAAACAGGCATACATGTCCCCACTGCCATCACCAAATAATAAGGAGAAACTTTACTTCCCAGTAGTAATATTATTAGATGCATACAGCCGGGAGCACAAGTGGAAACTGCCAAATCTAAGCAAATCAGCTGCTACTGGGGTCCCCTCCTCCTTAAAAGCTAGCAAAGGCCAGAGATGTACATTAGTGGGAGAATTAAAAAAGGGCACAGAAGTTTGGAATGCAGTGATAAATGGGAATCCACTGAAATGCCCTTCTAGAGAAACTAGATAGATAATTTTTAAACGAGCCTACCCAAAGAATAAAAGATGGTTCCACCATAAAAAGGAATGAAACTCTGACACATCCTACACCATGGAGGAACCTTGAAAACGTCATGCTAATAACTTAGCCAGACACAAAAGGCCACATATTGTATGATTCCTCTTCCATGAAATGTCCAGAATAGGCAAATCCATAGAGACAGAAAGTAGATTGGTGATTCCCGGGGGGGGGGGGGATGAGGAGTGACTGCTAATGGTATAGGGTTGGGTTTCTTTTTGGGGTAATGAAAATGTGCTGGAATTAGATAGTGGTAATGGCCGCACAGCCTTGTGGGTAAATTAAAACCACTACACTGTATATTTTAAGGGGTGAATGTTATGGTATGTGAATCTCAATTTAAAAAAAAAAACGTAAGGGAAAATATTCACTAAACGGAGGATATATCCACTACATGATCAATAATTACAGTGTGTGTGACACACGCATTTAATGTCTATAAAGAAAAAAGATCAAAAGTAAATGAAACAAAATGTTTGCAGTGAGTGACCTTACAGGTTGCTTGTAATTTTTTTTTTAACATTTTAGGTGTTTTATAAAGTCCTTAAAATCTAGTACATATGATTTGGGCTTTTTCTGCCTCTATACACAGAAACATATACACAGTCTTCCCTCCATTCCAAGATGGGGTTTATGTAGTCATTGTCCTAACAGGTTACTTAGCAAAAACATCAATATCGCTCCCAGGAACAGCGCCTCTGCCATGCTCTGTTTTGCCAATCAGAAAGGTTGTTGGCCCCAGACCAGTGGCACTGAACCAGAGGGTCAATCAGAATGAGGGGCTCATTCAACCACTCATGCCAGATCCTTCTACTGGGTCCAACCACAGAAAACTGGAGCCACTTCCTGAGGACAGAAAGAGTGAGTTCTGTGCAGCACACAGTGCCAAGCAGAGGAGGAACTCAGTAAACGTCTCCCGAACAGAGGCGCGAGGGCCAGGGCTCCATTTCCTATTAAGAGACTAAATTACTACACAATCTGAGTCCCAGGTTATAAGACCACGAAAGAACAAAGTGTTGAACTGCCCAGACCCAGCCAGCTCCTGTGATTTTTTTTTCAAATGCGACCTCAGGGAGGACTTCCAGAGCCCTGGTAAGCTGGGCTGAGTTTGTGTGGTGCAGCTACACTCTAGGAGGCCACCTGCCTTCTAATAACCTTCTGACTTCTTGGCTAAACAAATCAGAATTTTAATCTCATTTTACAATGTGTGTGTTTGTGTGTGTGGTATGCATCTTCTCTTTCCACCGAGCCACAGCCTACCTGAGCTTCATCTAGAAGAAGAGCATCTATCAAACCCTACAATAAACATCAGACTTAAATGGTAAAATATTAAAAATATTCCCATTATGCAGCCATCAAAAGGAATGAGATCTTGCCATTTGGCAACGACTTAGTTGGAACTGGAGGGTATTATGCTGAGCGAAATAAGTCAATCAGAGAAAGACATGTATCATATGACCTCATTGGTATGAGGAATTCTTAATCTCAGGAAACAAACTGAGGGTTGCTGGAGTGGGGGGGGTGGGAGGGATGGGGTGGTTAGGTGATAGACATTGGGGAGGGTATGTGCTATGGTGAGCACTGTGAATTGTGCAAGACTGATGAATCACAGATTTGTACCTCTGAAACAAATAATGCAATATATGTTTAAAAAAAAAAGAAAGAAAAGAAAAAGATAGTAGGAAGGGAAAAATGAAGCAGGGGAAATCGGAGGGGGAGATGAACCATGAGAGACGATGGGCTCTGAGAAACAAACTGAGGGTTCTAGAGGGGAGGGGGTGGGGGGATGGGTTAGCCTGGTGATGGGTATTAAAGAGGGCATGTACTGCATGGAGCACTGGGTGTTATACACAAACAATGAATCATGGAACACTACATCAAAAACTAATGATGTAATGTATGGTGATTAACATAATAAAAAAATATTCCCATTAACTTCAGAAATAACACACAGATGCCTGTTAAAGCTTCTGCTTAAGGCCCTAGCCAATGAAATATAGCAGGAAAAAACAAATGATAAATATAGAAAAGAAGATAAAGACTGCCCTTACCTGCAGAAAAATGACAAAATCTGAAAGTTAGAATGTTCAGCATGATTGTTAGATTGACCGGATCAACATATAAAAACCGACAGCATTCCTCTATACCAGTAATAACTGATAGAAAATGTAAAAAAAAAAAAGAAAAAGACACAGCCATGATAGTAACAAAAGATATAAGATCCCTAGGATAAATCCAACAGCTGTGTAAAATGTGTGGGGAAAATAATAAAATATTATTTCGGCACTAAAAGAAGACCTGAATAGAGAAAAATGCCAAGGTCATGGTTCAGAAATCCCAATGATGTAAAGATGTGAATTCTTCCCAGAGAGCCATAAATTCGGTGAAATTCCAGTCAACATTACAGAGTCAGAGAATCTGATAACTATGACAAATGTGATATCATGCTAACAGTACAAGAACAGACAAATGAGACAAATCAAAGAAAACAGTGAGCCCAGAAACAGAGTCCCAGATACATAAGAAAAGCAGCCTTACAAATCAGAGGCAAGGATGCACCTCGCAGTGAATGGCGTCAGCACAGAATCTCCATATGGAAAAAAGTAAAATTAGATCAGAGAAGGGTTAGTTCAATAAAGACAATGTCACACCACACATACATTTTAGATAGACTAAATTTAGTTACTTAAATTTACCCAAATTTAAATACCTGCCTACATATTAAAAGCAAAATTTAAAACCATGAGAAAATTATATAGGAGAATATCTTACTAACTCCAGACCAGAAAAATTTAAGACACCAAAGAGCAAATCGTAAAAGAAAACATTCGTAATTTTAAAGTATCTTCCTACTAAAGAACACCATCACTCATTTGTGATGCCCCTTTACTGTAACAAAGTTAAAAAGATAAGCCCTGCAATTTTTATAATCAACAAAGGATGCAAAGGCAAAAATTCATAGAGAATTCTTAACAAATCGGTAAGAAAAACAACTCATTAAAAGGGTAGGCAAAGGATAACAGGCAATTAACAAAATACAGAATCGCCGGTAAACACACAAAAAGACGCCACGTCTCAAGAAAATGGAAATTCAAACTATACCAGATACCCTTTCACACCCATTCCAAGAGTAAAGCAAGAAAGAGGACATAACATAGATCCAGAGAGATTTGCTCAGGAAGGTTCACTCCAGGATTGTATGTCACAGTGAAAAACTGCCAGGAGCCTAATGTTCATTACTGGAAAATGAGTAACAAACTGTGGTACAGCCCTAAAATGGAATGCTAACACTAGTTAGAAATGCAAGGTCTAGAGCTTCGCATCATCAATATGCAGAATCCCAAAATGTAACATGAAGCAAAAATACAAAGTGGCAGAAAGATATGTCTGGCATGATCCCATTAAATAAAGTAAAATGATACTCTATATTGTTCATGGACATGCAGGACACAGGAGGTGAATTGTGTGAGCATTTTATAAACCTAAAGGAAGGATTCTGACATGGATGGTATGTTTTTCAAACCCTGCATGCCTCGGTGTCCTTTGTAAAATGGGAAGGCTGCCTACCTGGCAGGGTCGTTGTGAGGATGAAGTAGAGGTGGTCTACATCGGCTGCCTAGCATCACGCCTGGCACAGAGAAGGGGCACAACTGAGGTTTGAGTTAAAAGCATCTGAGTGTGTGCTATCTCCCATCACCCCGTAGGCCTCTTTTTTGGCTTCTTGAGAGAAAAGCCGCTTTGGGAATTAATGACTTAGAACTGGCACAAGAATGTGCTTCCAAAGTGCTTTAACAAAAGCAGTTTAAATGTTCCCCTGTAATGTTTTCATGTCATGGCAAGGTCCCTAAAATGTAATTTCCACTCCACCACAGCTTGAATTATCAACCTACAAATGACGAGCGGCAGAAACCATAAGACTTCTTGTTCATGGGTGCATTTCCCAACAAACTCCAAGATACTGTCCTTACTTCAGCTACAAAAGCCTAACCAAGGCAGCGCAAGATGATACCCAAGCACCTCCCCTGCAGGCAAGCACAAAGCCCAGACATACCCGAATGGGACCTGTAATTCTGGTACAGCTGGTGGATCTTCTTGGGCTTCCGGACCGCACACTGCTTGTCCACGGTGTTTCTACTGGCGTAGTGGAACAGAGAGCGAAGGTCACTGAAGCGGAAGGCCACGCCCTTCATGATGCTCTGGGCCGTGTCCCCCGTGAGGAACATGGCGTTGGGGTCATTGATGCATTTCATCAGCAGTGTCAGCTCGGCTTGGGTGAAGTCCTGAATCTCATCGCCATAGAGCTCATGGATGGACCATGGGAGCACCTTGAGTTTCGACAGCCTCCGGGAGAGGTTATACAGAACATCTTCTTCGTCGAAATAACCTTTCTGAGACCTGATCTGCTGGTACAGGCAGAAGAGACTGTAGATCTCGCTCCGGTCTTCCTTGAAATTGGGGGACCGCTTCCTCCCTAATTTCTTATACATTTCTTCTGTGAGCCTCCCCTGGGGGCAGCTGAGGGCTTCAAAAGACCCCTTCAGAAAAGATTTTATTTCTTTCCAAATCAATGCGGGGTTGTAGGAGGTTTTCCCTTTGATCATTTTGGGCCATATTTCATTGGTGAACACCTCAAATGTCACAAACACCCGGGGGTCACTGTCACACGTACGTGTTTCTGCAGCTTTATCCTCCTCGCCATTGTCCCCATCTGCCTCAGCCTCCTCCTCATCCTCCTGCCAGTTGGGGATGGTCAGCTCTTCCTGGGTGGACCATCCCACAATGGCTCTTTTCAAGCTGCCGTCTTCATTTCTCAGAAAAAATGGTTTGGGCAGGGAAGCATCAAGCAGGAGGAGCAGCTGCCTGGAAGTGACAAAGAGAGGAAAGTTCTCGTCCCTTAAGTCCTGAAGTTTGTGGACACTGGATTCCAGTGGTTTGTAGTGACTGGTGGCCTTGGTAGACTTGGAAAGCTCAATGAAATTCCTCTGCACCTCCTGGCACAGGACATGGTTCTTGGTCACGAAGATCTGATGTAAATGCTCCAGCTGGTGGGGATGCTCTGTGGCGCACACTTCCACCACCTGGCCAGGCTCGCCCAGCGCCCCGCTGGGTCCCGCTGCACAGGCTTCGCTATCCCGCTCCTCGTCCATGCCGTCCGCTGTTTCCGCTTCCATGGAACCTTCCTGGTCCTCCTCCTTGTCCTCTTCGTCCGTCTGGGGACCTTCCTTTCCGGGTTCCACTTCCAACCTTCTCTTCACCCACAACTGCTTGGTCAGTAGCGGGCTTCCTGCCTGCTCAGCCTTCTCCCAGTAAATGTGGAATTTCTTCCACAGCCTGTACAAGCAGCAAGTTGTCTTCCCAGTGCCGCTCCGCCCAATGAGGATGATGGGCTCCAGTGGCCTGGGGTTGAGGTCAATCACGGCATACTCCAGCTCACCCACCCTGAAGGGGTACTCCACTGTCGCTGTTGTGTCGTTGAGGATGTTGGAGGCCATGCTGTTGCTAAAGCTGTGGAACTTCATGATGTTATACTCCGTCTCCACAGCGCTGGCCGGTGGGAAATACTCGGGGTTCACATGCTCCTGGCTCTTCTCGGCCTCCGTGTCCTCCACGTAGCAGCGGGGTATGCGCTTTTGGACTTTCACATTGGCTGACACCTGGCCTTGGTGGATGCCCTTCAGCTTCTTCCGCAGGACACAGGACCGGCCCCGGTTGTAGGCGCTACAGATGGCCCTGATGGAGTCCGACAGCTTGCAGTGGTCCAAGACGATGTCCCAGATCCGGATGATTTCTGTGTAGACCCGACCCGACTTCTCCGGGCTGTGCAGGTTCCGCTCTGTGGCAGCGATGATCTTCTCCGGGTTCTCACTGCATCGAGGGGAGAAGTCAATGGCCAGCTCCCACAGCATTCGAGACCCCTTGTCCAGCTTGGCCTCGAAGAGCTGGATGCTTCCCTGCAGGTGCTTCAGCCGTTTCTGCAGGCCCTGCGTCCACTCACCATTCCCCAGCTGCTGGATAGCTAGGATGATTTTCTTCTTCATGACCTTCGTCATGACCTTACTGGACAGCTTTTTCAGCATTTCCGAAGTGCACTCGATCTCCCACGTCATGTTCTCAAAGTCCTGGAGGCAGACTTCGATCTCCTGCGTGTTCTGGCTGCCTGGATCATCGCTGCCCTCACTCCCTCTGTGGCCAGCAGGCATGAGCTGCGAGGCCCCAAGGCCTGCCTGAGCACATCCACCCCCTGCCTCAAGGACGCTGTGGTTGTTCCCACTAGAGTCAGAGCCTTGAGGCCCCAGGGCTCGCTGGAGCTCGTCCTTCTTTGCTTCTGTACCAATGCCTATCTCCAGAGGCTCAGAGTCCTGAGGACAGTCCTCGGGGAGGGACGTATCCAATTCAACCTGCTGAATTAAACCCATGATGTCCTGCACCAGGCGGTCTCTCAGAGAGCAGGGCCTGACAGCTCCAGGCTCCTGCCCCATCGCCTGGGCATCCGGGAGAGTCTCCCAGCTGTCGGGGACCATGGTTCCTTCGGGCAGGGTCCTGGCAGGGACGCTGCATGGCAGTGACTTGGATGAACCCTGGGACTTGAGCTGAGACGTGTGACCAGAGGCAGTGGGCCTCGGGAGCTTCCCTGGGTGGGCAGTAGAGTCCTGCCGGCTCCTCCGCTTGCTCTCCATCAGAGCTTTGTTCCAGGCCAAGAGCAGAGCATCGTTCTTCTTAATCCGGTGCCTCGCGTCTTTGCCTTCTTTGTTCTTCAAGTTCAAGTTGATGTCAAACTTCACCAGCAGGTCTATCAGCTTCTTCATGCGCTTCAGCATGCCCTTCTGGAAGATGATGTGCATCAGCGTGTTCCCATTGCTATCCTGGCTGTTGGGGTTGAGGTAGAAAAATTCAGTGGGTTTGGACCAGAAGAGATCCAACAGGTAGCTGAGGAAGTTAAAACCGGTGTCAGCTGAAAGACATAAACAAAACGCTTTGAGTGCTGAGCCGCTCTTCCCAGGGAACAGAGACCCCTGGATCTGGAGAGATGCCAGCCAGAGGCATCTCAGAATGCCACACCTCCCCAAGCACTTGATAACCCAGTGGTTGAAAACCAGGAACAATTTGCCCCCAAGGGATATCTGGCCACGTCTGGAGGACAGCCAACTTTGAAACTTAAGAATCCTCCTCAATCAACCCACCCTGACCATTCACCATGATGGTTGCTCCTTCTCATCCAGCTATGGGTGAGGGGCCAGGAGATAATGGGTGGGCCTGACCAAGAAACAGTCCTTTTTCAGATCATTGGTTTTCCCAATAGGAAAGATGAAAAAGCATAGCATCAGTTCTAATATCCAGCTTCCTCTTCAAAGAAAAGACTGCTTAAAAAATAAAGGCCTACCTTTGATGTCTAAAAAGATGTGGAGTGCTGCATGCAAAGGAGTATCACCTTCCGTGAGGGAGATACTGCGGGGGTCTGCACCCTTGGTCAAGAGAAGAAACGCCAGCTCAAAGTCCTCATGTTTCAGGCACATGACAAGCGGCGTCTCCTGGCTGTCATGGAGACCCTCGGGCAAGGCTGAGGAGGCAGAGGAGAAAGGCACATCCCCATGAAGGATGTACCCTGTGACAAGTAACCGCCCGGCTCACCTGAAGAGGAGGGGACCGCTTCTGCCTTATACTCCAAGGGAAGAGCTGATGCTGACCTGACTTCTGAGGCGAAGGCTTCCCAGAGCCCTTAAAGTGAAAGCCCAACTCCTTCTGGTGTCCCATTCATGGGCCGTGCCTCTCCCCACTCTCCTGCTCCCCTTCGTGTCCCAGGGTCCCGTCTTCAGCCCTGCCCGGTAGTGTGGACAGGACCCGGGAACAACGGAAACCCCAGTGCCTGCCTAACACCCTACCTGATACACAGTCGGTGATGGGGATATGAGCATGGCTTCCTACGTCCATTGCTTCTATGACGCTTCTTCCTGAGGATGCCCATCTACCCTCAAATGGCATCTTCCCTGACACCTCTCCACCCCCAATATCAGCTTCCCTTTAGCTTGGTCCATGCTTCCCCTCTGCACCGCAGTCTCCGTGACCTGCACCCCTGCAATCTGCACACCCCCACACAGCAGCCACGCTTTCACTTTGCCCCTGGTCCCCAGCACCCAATTCCAGGGAGGCGCTTCATAAACGCTGGCTGACTCAGGAATAAAACAGGAAGCCCATGACCGCCGCAGTTTCTAGGCAAAGGTAGTAACATTCCACTCGAGGAATGGTTTTGAAGAAATAAACTATAGGAGGCATGCCATCGACCTTTTGGAAACTGTGGGGACAGCCAATGCCCAAAGGCTTTGTATGGCACTTTGAGAGCGAAGGACCAATAAAGGACATTCCCTCTTAAACAGCTGAGCAAGCAGAAAACCACACGACCGCAGTGCTCTTCCAAGAACCTGCATGCGTGAGCTCATTTGACATTCAAAACAGCCCTAAGAGGACTGTTATCATTCCTATTTTATAAACAAGGAGATGGAGGCAGATATAGCATGCCCAAGGCCACACAACTAGTAGTGGCAGTAGTAGCGGGGGTGGGGATTGGGGGCAGGAGTAGGCTGGTGTTTCCAATCAGTTTTAAAATAAAACCCAGTCCAGAGCACCTCGGTGGCTCAGTCAGTTAGGCATCTGCCTTTGGCTCAGGCCATGATCTCATGATCCTGGGACTGAGTCCCACACTGGGTTCCCCTGCTGGAGTCTGCTTCTCCCTCTCCCTCTGCCCTTCCCTCCACTCATGCTCTCTCTCTGTCTCTCTCAAATAAATAAATTAAATCTTTACAAAATAAATTAAAAAAAAAAAAAAAACGCAATCCAGCAAGACGCTGGCTCTCTCCAGACATACATCCAGCCAAGTGTGATTGCGCTGAGTATAGTGGTAGATGTATCCACCCACCAACTATTCGACTGTTTCTTTACAAAGAAGCACCTTAAATCCTAATCCGCCAATTAGAAACGAATGCTGGAGAGTTGACAGGGACTCACACAGCATACTGAGTGCAGGGAAAAGTCCAGCCGGCAGTCAGGAGGAAAGGACCCTGTGTGCCACACCCGGGGCCAAGGGCCCCCTGCACGCACCTGAGGTCTCTCACACAAGGCAGAAGAAAAGACAAGAGGTGACTAGGATTCACAAAGATGCAGAGTTCCTACAAGGCCAGAACCCACTAACAGGGCATTAACCCAGTCACTGTTGCAAAATGAGAAGCTATGGAGGAAGAGAATGGGCCAGAATTTAAAGGAGTCTCCAAAGTCAAGTGAAAGACCCGGGACCAGTGGCGTCCCAAGGGACAAGTCCCCAGTGTCCATCATGAGCATTCTCACCTCCACTGTCGATGAGGCAGCCCAGGAGCTGCATCCTCCGAGGGTCCCAGGTGCTGAGGCGGGGGATGACAGCACAGAGGTCAAGGTCTGAGAAGTTGCAGTCCTTGATGAGACAGTCTCCCAGCGGTGGCTCCCCACTCACTTTGCGGGTCAGCAACAGAAGCACTTCTGGCCATTTCTGTTTCTCCAGTAAAAACTTGATGAAGGTGTTGGCGCAGTCACGGTTAATGTCACAGACCAGGTCAGGAGGAATTTCTTTCAAAAATAAGAATACACCACACTCCCAAAAAGGTTCACATGACTCCTGCCCCCAGATACCACCCAACACATTTAGGCATAATTAACAAGAATTATCCGTAGGTATTTTTAACCTCTGGGGAAAATATAAGCAAGTAATTACTTTGGGCAGCTACTGAACCACTCGTAAATGTTGGTATAAGCACCGGAGGTGTGACCTTCTTGGGAAGGTCAGAAATATTTTAAGGGGAGTAGAGTCTGGCCCAGGAGGAGAGCAGAACTGACTGTCTTGGAGAATACGTGAGTCGGGGCAGTCTACTGAGATCAGAAGGGCAAGAGCCCAGCTTAAGTTTTGCATAATATTAAAAGTGTTCTGCTTAAGGAGCACTGAAATACAGGGAGACACTGTAGAATAATTAAAAAGTTAAGAGTTAAGAGCATTCTATAATTTGTCTGGCAACCCTACCAGTAAGAAAGCAGGAAGAAAGAGAAGGAAAGAAATCAAGAGTTAACCTAAATAAGAGCAATTTAATTTGCATTTGCTAGTTTTTGCTTCCCACCATTCTCCAGGATTTCTAACACGAATATTCATTTTAATATTTAATATTTAATTTGAAAACAAGAAAAACAATTCTGTGTGCAGGACCCTGGACCAAGTGCTCGACATCCATCATCTCAGCAGATTAGTACCCTGGTTAATGGAAGAGTGAAGGAACTGACGCTTAAGAAGTTAAATAATTGGCCCGAGGTCACAGATCTGCTAAGTGGTAGAATTAAGATGAAAATGTAAAACTCCAAGCCTTAAACACTAAGATCTGCTGCATCCCCTGAAGAGCATTTTTGTTCCGCTGGCCACCCCTTCCCACATTCTCTAGAAAATTAAGAAATCTCAACCCTTTGAATGTGAATGAATGCGTTACAGTCCATGCTGACTGCCAATCTAAAAAATACTAAATTTCACCCACTTAGGGTTTCTAGAATCTTCCCTAATTATTATCTAAAATGTGTCATCTGAAGTTCTTTTCTAGAACTTTCCTGATTTCCCCACAATGAAAAAAAATTAACATTCAATTCCACAATAACCTTATATACCAACATTAGCCAATATCTATTTTTTTTAATTTTTATTTATTTATTTGACAGAGAGAGACACAGTGAGAGAGGGAACACAAGCAGGGGGAGTGGGAGGGGGAGAAGCAGGCTTCCTGCGGAATGGGGAGCCCGATGCGGGGCTCGATCCCAGGATCCTGGGATCATGACCTGAGCTGAAGGCAGACGCTTAACGACTGAGCCACCCAGTCACCC